TGCTTCCTAAATCTTTTTGTTCCGCCTCTGATTGGGTTCTCTTCCTAGCCAGATGCAATGTTAGAGAAGCATGACTAAATCCTTTAGCTTTGTAGTGTTCATTGTGTGGATTCAGTTGGCTGAAATTACTGGAGACAATTTACTTCCCAGAAGCATAAAATATTCTACTCCATAATGGAAAGATTTGCTGGGCAGATTCATACCACTGAAATGTAAACATTTCAGTATTTGATCATAGCAATGTATCTTTCCATCTGAGCAGATCACATCTGTCTGATCACAGCAGACAGGCCTGTTTTCTCTTTTTAAAAATGTCTAGGTTCTGTAGGAGTTCTTCAGAAATCACTTAAATGCCATTTCAACTATTGCCACCCAATCAGAGTGTTAAAAGAACCGAGATATCTGAAGGTTGCATGAGAAAACCTTCCCTATGCATAAAACTCCTCCTTCCTGAAATAGCAATGCTAATGCCTGATCTTTCAAATCACTGGATATTTGTATTGTATCTTTACTTCCCTTAAAGTAGTTTGGTTTTTTGGTAGCAGTTAGTGGTCAGGAAGGCGACACCATGGTAGGTAGGTGTCATATCATAGATGATGAAAGCTCCTGTAATAAAGACAAGGTGAAAAGTCATCTGAATTTTTATGTAATGTATTTTCTCATTTTTACTTAAATTAGGTTATTTCACCATTTATATCTCCCTTAAAACATTGTTTAGGTACTAACACAGAAACATAAGCAGCACTGAGTAACACTAAGAAACAGAACACTGTACACATATGAGAAGTTCTCATTCTGCACTGCTGAGCTTAAAACAGTTAAGATACCCCCTCAGGTTGCACATTTTCTGTAGAGAGAGGTTTAAAGAACAGACCTTCTTACAAGGGATATTTCTAATAGGTTTCTGCTAACCAGATCAAGCTGTGTTGTGTTTTGGCAAAAAACAGACTCACTCATACGAATCACAAGTTATTTTTCGAGAGTACAAGCAGCCATTGCTGCTGCTCTGAGAATTATTCTCACAATAGAAAGGCAGATATTTAGTACATGAACAGCATTCATATTTGCTCAGTATTGCTTAATTTTAGTGGGTTTATTGGAAAAGGACTCTGAGGGGTAGAAGGAGTCATCAAATCCACTTTAATTTTTTTCATTCTCTAGAGTACATATTGATATAATCTGCATTGAGTAACAAAGATTATTCAACTGGCTTAGCTAAAGTTTTACAGTCTGTTCAGATATGCAATTGATTTACTGATTTATGTGAGTCCTTAAGCTCTGTGTGAATTGAGAGTCATTAATTCACCAGTGAAGGATGACGACTAAGCAAGTGACCTTTTGACATCATAGGTGGGAAGAGCTTCTGAGGGATAAAATGAAATTAGGTGAGTGGTTTGATAGTAGAAACTGATTTGGCTTTCAACACGGTGTAGGTGTGATCTGAAAAAAAGTTGTTTCAGTTAGCTCAGATCCTTCCTTGTATTCTTTCAGAATGATTGATTGTAGTATGCTGTAGTCAATGAAACGACATCGGCAGATTCAGAAATATTTAGTAGTATGTGTAAAGAAATCTTCTTTGGACAAAAAAAATTATTGTTTTTTTTTTTCCCTAGTTCATCTTGAAAGTTGCTTATGAAGGATTCATGTTACTTATGGCAGATTGTAATAAGTGAAGATAGCTTTTTTCCCCCCGTTTTTATTACTTTGTTCAGGAAAGTACATCTGAACAGTAACTAACAACTTGGTTGTGTAATCCATATAGCCTCTTGACAGATGACGATCTTGCTTCAAATTTACTTAAACTGTGTCAGCTGCTAAGGATTTTACCTACTGAGGAGTTCTTCTAGGAACTATTATATTTCTTTGGGAATAGATATATGTGATAGTCTGAATATCACACAGATTCGAGAACCAGAGGGAAGACAGGGCTTTAGAAAACTCACCCTGGGTGTGAGTAAGCTACACTATGAAGTTGGCTGACCACTGTCCATAGCAAGCAGTGCTACTGCTTCCAGGTAGTAGTAAAGCTGTGAAAGTTAATAATGTAATTTATCCTTTTGAAAGATTTTCCGATTATGATTTAGCAGCCACAATGGTTCTGTATATTGAAAAAGAGGTATTTCAAAGAAAGATAACATAAGGACTCTGGCTTTAAATGTTTCCCTAACTTGTAAGACCTATCTCCTCTCTCAATGGCGCTGACATCTGCCAGTAGTATAGTGTTACTTACAAGCACTCATGTGGTGTTTGAGTGGCTTGAAATACATGCCCTTTGCACCAGGCAGCTAAATCTCTGCGTGGTTCATTCTGCCACCATACGAGATCAAATACTGCATCACTGAAGCCTTTCTGCACTTCACCAATGTGACCCCTGCTGTGTGAGGAATGCTAAGTTTCCTCTTCCTTTAAAGGAAAAGAGGCCCTACCTAACTAAGTTTGTCCATCCAAGTTTCCATGGTTAATCACGTAAGAAAAACGTCATCACTGGTGGGATGAAGTATAGCCAATCTGTAATGAATCCACTTCATAGTATCCAAAAAACTTCTTTCTGTATTCCTACCAAATCCTTGTCCTCAGCTTTTTTTTTTTTTTTAATTAAGGCTCTATAGATTCTTAACGTTTATGCCAGGTGCCTGCATAACTCAGAGGACCATAGATGAAGTAAATATGGATGTGTAATAAATTTAATTTCTTTTATCTGCCATGCATGGATTGATCTATGTTCTGTCTTTTGCAGTAATGAAGGACTGTTTTTAATTTCCATATCTAAAAGCAGATTTTACATTTCTGTATGAAAAACTATTTGCTTTCTTTGTATTGCCAAATGTATTGTGCTGATTTTTTCTTTGTCTTCTTTGTCTGACCTCTGTCCACAATCGTGGGATGTACTTCTGTTAAATAGTTTGGTTTATACTTCTCTACCAGCTCACATAAGAAAATTCGTCCTTCTTACCCCCTCAGGAGTTGTCCAGCTCACTGCAGGGCTTGGTCAAGTCTCTTCTGCATTCTCTAACTACAAAATAGGAATAATCATGATGCATTGCTTTTGACTGGTAAAATGCTTTGAGCTTCTCATGAAGAATGTATTTTAAGAATCTAAGCGCTTTTTTCTTCCATGAACAATAAATCAGCAACTGCCATCGAGATGGGTTACTATATATACACTTTCAAGAATCCTTCCAGAATCCCTCCATTTCCCCTCTATTGTGTTTCAAGAAATGTGCAACTCAACTACATTAGCCATTGAGAAGCATCACTTTCCATAGGCTGTTAACATCAATTCTGCAGAAAAAAACCCCTATATGAGAATTTTTCTCTCTGAAGGAAATTGCTATGATATTTCCTCAAAGTGTCTTTCTTTCAGAGCACAGATTTGTGTGGCTAGCTCTGAGTGACTATTTTTTTGTTGGAATGACTAGTAGTTTCTAGTGTGCCTACAGTCTGTGAGATTTTTAAAGTCTTGTTCTTAAGAAATCCTTGATTTTCTGCTGTGACTCTGAAGTCGGTGGGTATCTTTTCAGAAGCCTTCTATGGTTGACTTGTTGAGATAGTAGCCAGTAAGTAGTCTTACTTTGAATATGAAACAGTAGAGCAAAACTGATCTTAATCATGACGTATCTTCTTTTGTGTATGTTAAGGAGATAATCAGGTTTATTTGTGGTGGAGGGAAAGGATTGTTTTGGAAGGATTTTTAAATGCATATGATTTGGTTTGTCTCCCTGTTACACGATTCAGGAAAAAAATCAGAATTTTAAGATATTTCTTTTTCTGTACTTTCATTTGTATAAAACAATAATTCAGTGTATAATAATCTGGATTCCATTTTGGCTTTGTTTTATTCAGAGAAGCATTTTTAGTGGCTATGTTTGCTTACCTAGGTTTTACTTGAGAAGTGAGAATTTCTAAACTAGGCAAGGAGCTATGAAAGCTCAAAGCTAATGGTGGTGTTTGCATTAGACAAGACACAGTTCAGTGACATGCAGTGTGCACCTTCATTGTCTGAATATTAGCAAGCAAAATTGACACCATATGTGCCCAACTGTAATTGCTCCAAGAGGGGAAAAGAGAAACATGTCAGAACATTTGAGTAACACCTAATTCAGCCCATGGTTATAAATAAAGCTGATGGTTGCTTAAAAACAAAAGTAGGAAAATATTATGGTTATATTATTCCTCAACAGCGCTTCCTACATAGGTGAACTTTATTACAGGGACAACACAAGTGAAAAGAAACATATAACAACTTTTTATGGTATTTTTATGTTATTTTATTTTTTTCGCAGTAAATAAAGTGGTTATGAGGCTCCAAGGAAAACGGCCCAGATGTTAGTGAGTTGTATGAAATTTAGTGGAAACAAGCTGTAAAAAACATAGTCATAAAACAGCCTGTCAATGCCACACATCTGGACAATGCAGCTGTATGTTCCCGCTGCTGTCATCGCCCTAAGAAAATTCAATAGCCTTATTTCACCCCAATTAGGCTGCATACCAACAGAATCAGAATTACACAGGGAGGGGGTGTGTTTTTACCAAGACAGACCCTCTCAAATTCCCTTCAAGAAGTTTTTATCTTTCATTCAGAGCTAGTGCCTCAGACACTAGTCACTTTGTAAACAGTACTCCAAACTATTCCCCTTGATCTGCTGTTACGTGATTTTTAATTTATTACTTTATAATAAGTAGTTGCTCAATGTTGCTTCTTTGTTTAAAATCTAAAAAAATGTACATTTTCCTGTGAGAATTCTGTGTCTATTGATTTTTGCATAAATTACGGAAGTATTTTCTATTCTAGTTTTATCTCACACTATAGCTGATAGGACTTCATTTGAGGTCTTCAGAACCAAAGAATAGCTGTGCATCTTACTGATACATTGTTTTCCTGGAAGTGTGGCTGTTTTGACCCACAGGTTGTACAATGTGTGTATTTCATTTCATCATTCAAAGTGTGTGTCAAATGGAGCAATAGTTTTGTTGTGTTTGTTTGTTTTTTCCCTCTGCAGGTAATAGAATTAGCCAAAGCCATTCTGGATGGGGGTGCAGAAATTCCTGTTACACTAACTGGAAAGCTGTTGAAATTTCAACTGCTTTGTCTCAAACAGAAGGACCTTCAGAGAAGAGAAGCTGAAAAGAAGGTACATCAGAATGCCTTAGGGGAGGATGCTTAATTAAGTTTTTGAAGACACTTCTAGTGTTGCTTCCATAAATTCAGCTTTCTTCTCATGTTTGACTTCATAGAACTGTAATTGAAGAGAAATGTGACTAGAAATATCTTTTTAAGTTAGTTAGATTTTGTGGATGAAGCTGTCAATTACTCAAATGCTAGTGAGAAAGTGCAAAAAAAAGAGAAAGTAAAAATACTATGCAAGAACTCTTTGCTAGAATGAGAGCTAGTAATGGCTTAGCTGAGTCTTAGGTCCAATAGAAAATATAGCTACAAACTGGCTTCACTTGAATATATCTCTCCTGAAGTAAAGGTAGGAGAGGTTGTTACTTGAGAAGTATCTAGGATAGAAGCACTATGAAGAAGTTATTGTTAAGAATCTCCTCTCTGAAGGGAATTTGGAGAAGTTATCTCTTCCCTCCTCTGGCACTAAGGCAGAATAATATTTTCATAAACTATTCCTGGCATATATTTGTGAACCTTTTCTTAAAACTTTCCACTGCTGTGCTTTGCTTTTCAGTAATTACTGCTGAACTATGTCTGCAAGGGACTTGTTTGGAAAAGGTTTCTGGTCTTATCAACCATAGTCTTGTTTAAACCTTTTACTGCTTCACTGCTCGCTGGATATGGGGGCAACAGTTCTTACCCTGCCTTCCATGGAAATCTATTACGTATTTAACTGAACAAACTCAAATATATGTCGTGGTTTCTAGTTTTTGATTATGCATGTTCCTCTCCTTTGAACTCTCTCATAATACTACATATTTTGAAATCTGCTTCTCAGAACTGAGTACCACATTTTCCAGTGTTCCCAAAACTTGCTTCCATATGTCCTCCAAGATCATCACTAGCTCCAAGATTGCCTCAGTCAAATTGCTTATGTGTTCTAGGAGGAATTTCACCAAGCTTGCACAGAATCACAGATCAGACCTCTAATTGCCTTTTAATATCTTTTAAAGTTGTCAGTGGTACCTTTCAACAACTTACTGAACAGTTGGTTTCAATACAGTCCTTTTCGAGCAAACATTCATGCAACTGAACACCATTATCAGAGAGCTGTATAATTGCTGCAGTAAGTTTACCCTGTTAATTATCAAGAACTATAGTGTAAAGTGAGATGACATGGAGACCTGAACAGTCTGTGCATGTAAAAGACACAAGAAGAAAGCAGTTTAATGGATTTTGTATACTTGAAAAGTCTGTAAATTTTTTTATCAACAATTCTGTTTGTGGGAATAGTTGGTGGATGAAGTATAGCACACAACCACAAGAACATTAAATGCTAGATGATTAAATGAGAATTGTGTCCTGTTCCCGCAGAAGACTATGGATTAGGAAATGGTAACATAAGACACATAAATATATGAATAGTATGAGAAGATAGTGTCTTTTCAATCTGAAGAGAAATTGAGAGGCTGAAGCTATAGAGCAGATTATTTATAGTGAATCAAGAAAAAATGGCTTTTCTCTTCGATACTAGTCAATTCTGATAAGTAAACTTTAAAACAAAAATTTTAAGTTTAAAGATTGGGCACTTCAATATTAAAATGGAGTCTTTAGCTTTGATTTGGCAAGATTAGTCTTGTAACTCTAATTTTATTTCCCTGGTCAAGTGATATTCTTGGTTAGAATCTTGGCAAGTCCAGAAATGTCTCTGCTTATTTGAGGATGATTTAAAATTATGCAGATGCAATAGATGAAGTTGATTATGGCCTGATGATCATATCTTCTGTTTGGTGTGTTCATCAGCTTAGAGTTCAAAGAAGTACTATCAAAATTTTTTTGTTTGAAATGTCCGAAGTGGAACAAATTTGAAGGAAAATAATGAAAGCCTCCAAATCCTTCATTTCACAGTGCAAATAGTTTCAAGAATCTGTCGAAGGCATTTGTAAATTTTACAGAAGGGGAATGCATGAAGGAAGGGAAAAGCAGGAAAATATTTTCTACTTTGATTTTGAATTTGAAGTAAATACAAAATCCACAGCTTGAAAGTCTGCTTTTCATCTGGATCTAGGGAAAACAACTGTGTAAACTGCCCTTTCTCATTTGCATGAAAGGCTTTTCTCATTGCTTTAGTAGCCACTAAAGTGACACCAGCAGGATTGTAACTGTAAGTTAAGTTAATACATTTTTATTTTATTTAATTTAGCTTTATAATTCTGAAATGTCATTTTTGCATAGCTGGACGTAGTACTTCTGCTGGGTAAAAATAAAGTGGAGGCTTTCTTGCTCTATAACATCTCACTTTACCTTAATATGTTTTGGATTAATTTAATTTTAGACTGACTCTGGACTTTATGGATTTATAGTGTGAGGCTCAGGGATACTTACAAAATCTTTTATTTCATCCTCTACTCTTAAATTACCAAGCAGAGCTTAATGTAGATGTTTTTGTTTGAAAATAATGAGAATGGCTGAATAATATCCTGTGTGAAATGAGCACAAGACTCTTGGTTCTAGTTCATAGTAGACAGATATTTACATCAAATAAAAATAGTGCTGGTACCATACTCAAGAGTGGTAACAGATATGTTAAAGACTTAACAGATACTGAATTTTTGCCTTATTTCCCTTAAGTCCAAGGAAAGGTTCTGGCTGGTGCAAGTGCTGTATTGGCAGTAACTAAAGCACAGTGATTCTTTACTCGTCTTTTTACCCGTATGCATTTTGTTAGTTTGGCAGGTATAATGTCTGACTAGCTCTTGCAGTTCCTTTTTAATGTGAAGTCTTAGTACTATGATTGAGTAAGAATATAATAAACTAAATGTTGTGTTTGAGCAGCATAAAGCAGGATGTTCAAGACGGCTTCACCACGTCAATGTTATAGTGGCTAAGGGGGAAAAGTATTACAATAAAAAAATTGAATCACTGAAGTTTTACAACAGTCTGACCTTTGTTCTGCGCAAAGGCTACAATGACAACTTTGTTTATTCATCTTGTCAGGCAGAACAGCAACAAAAAGAAAAAGAAAAAGCTAAACCTCCTGACAAAGCAGCTGAAAAAGAAAGTAAAGGAAAAAAGTCAGCAGCCCCAGCCCCTGCTAAAAAGGACACCAAATTGAAACAACGACATGGAGAAGTGGAAGAGAAAGACCAATACATTGGTATGTAAAAAATGTAGGTGAACTTACTAGAAGTCTTGCAACCTAGCTTTGGAGTACTTCGTTTTGTCCACGTTTAAAACTCAAGATCTATTTGCCAATATCAAAACATTGCTGCTTCATATTTGAAGAGGGCACTGTGTTTTGCTCAGTGTTAGGATAGATTGTGCAATCCAAGAAATAAAACTTAGATAAGATACATGTAACATGTCAATATCAAAGTGTTTTAGCATATATAACACCCAAAGAAAGTAGCTAAACAAGTCCTACAGAAAACCTTTCTTGGAGAAAGATTTCAGAATAAGTAGATGTAGCAGTATCCAGAGGTGGCTTTCTCCTTGTATTATAAAATATAACAGACCGACAGAGTTGAAAACCCTGTCAATGAAGAAATTTTTTGTAATATCCAGTCTAAATCTCCCCTCTTTATATTTGTTTTAATATAGCTGTATCAAGAAAAAGAAAAAAAAACAACCATGCCTTGAACTCAAAGACAGTCTGTATCTGGTAGTTTTGGTAGCTAACAGTCATTTTATCATTCATTCCTAATACATTATCACCTTTTTGAAATTAAATATTTCTGCTTTTGAGTAGTCTAGAGATTACTTGCATTGATGTCTTTCCTCTTTTAAGTATGGACTAGTCAGTGACAATAAGAACTGACTGATTATTATCCGCTTGTCATGATTATTAGCTTAATCATAATTATAATTTTTGAATGGCATGCGGTCTTCAGCATGTATGCATTGGAATTTTTGTATCTATGTAAGTGACTGGGCAGACGTCTGGGTTTTTTGTTAGAAATTATTAATATTCAGTAATTGTATGTGCTCATGCCTTTTCTTCCTGCAGTAACTGAGACATCAAATTACATACTTCAGTTTCAGTGCTAGCAGGTATATAATGGGCTAGTTTTCTTCTGGGTTTGAGTTTTGCTTTGCCATATGTGCTGGACTGTGGTGGCTGCTTCCTCAGTCAGTCTTTCTCCAAATTTGTGTGTTCTTTTATATTTATCTAATGTTGCAACCAACAGAGAGTCTGCTGCTCCATGTGGTAGCGGCATTTGCACAGTCCTGGCTATAAACCTGAGTACAGGCAGATGTTAGTGCTAGGCTACCCTTTTTTCTCCCTTGGATGCATGAGTCCCATGAGCTGAGGAGTGGCTAAAGGACTTAAATGTGTGATGTATTAGTAGGCATAAGAAAGAATCTTAATGCTAAAGAGAATATAAAACTGCATTTGGTTTCTAGTGCAGGATAGCCTGCACTAACTGTACGTGTTTCAGAATCAATGAAGAGATACAGGACCTTCAGCAGGCATTTTCTAATGACTTAAAATAAATAACCATACTGGATGAATGAAATCTTCTGGTACTTATCTTAATACCTATATTTCTCCATAGACCACAAAGGGAAACTATACAATAAACTTAGACTAGAGTCAAGCTTCTAGAGGGCTCATTTTTACTTATGTAATGCTTAACCTTTTGCTTTGGTAGTGAAATGTTGCTGTGCATATTTCTACATAACTAATAAGCCCAAACAGAGCAGGCACTCAATGAAACTTCTCATCTGCACTCTAAGATGAATTTAGATATGCCCCTCGACAGCTAAAAGGACTATTGTGAGCTAGTATTACCAGCTGATGAGGATTTTGACAGGAAGCACACCTAGTAAACATGAACCTGTTGAGCAGGGAACAGTCAGCAGTGAGTCAGCTCATACCTGCGGCTAATCCTTTGAAATTATTTTGACTCATGTAATTGCTCATTTAAGACACAGTAACTTAGTCTGTGTGTGCCAGTTTTATACAGGATGAAATAGGATAGCTTAAACTACCATTAGAGCATGTGAGTATGTCCTGACACTAAACTCCTTAGAGAGAAGCGATTACAGAAATGCTGCTACGACATTCTGATTATAATCAGCTTCTCCAGTTTTTCTCCTGGTGCTTCTCCAAACAATTATTATTTCTGACTTGTATTCTTCCTGCTGTGTTCTAGATGGTTTGGTGCAGAAGACTTCAGTCTAATGCACATAATGTTTTTGAACTTATATGTAATTTTCCCAATGAAGTTATAAAAGAACTGATCTTCATTTGCATTACTCTGTATAGTCAAGAAAAAAATTAATTTTGTTTAGCTGTTGAATGGCCTTGCTCTAATCTGGTTTTTTTGTATTTTGAACAGATGATGAACCAGATGATGGTGCCCATCATTACTTTATAATTTTGGATTTCCACAACCTTCAGCTGTTACCTGTAATGGCTGAGCTTGGAATTAACATTTCAAGTGTAATTCAAATTTCTTCTGAGAATTACAAGCCATTGCAGATACACTTGGAAGAAACTACACTTCAAAGAGAGCCTTTAATTTCATCTGAAGGTAATCTGGTCATAAAAAAAAATTGTATAGAAAGGAGATAGTTTTATATCCAAGGAAAGACTGTTCGAGCTGTGTTTTTCTCCCTCTCTGTGCCTTGTGTTTGTGCTTGCTAATGGTGAGCAGCTGTGTTTACAAGTGCCAAAATGGTATTGCCTTTGATTGGTCACCAAACCAAATGGTTTACCAGTGCAAAAACTGGACAGCAGAAAGAGGGACTGGCTAAGTAGGCAGTGTTTGCAGCCATAGTTTTCTCCAGCAGCCACCAAAGAACATTTTATCAAATGTGTACTTCTCTGAATCATTAGGAAGGTGCATTGCTAAGAAATCTTGGCTCATTTGGTAATTTCAAGGAAAGTACACAACTGGCTACTTTGGAACTGTGTTCCCAGCCACAGAAGAATATGCCACAGAATAACGCTCTGTAATTTTCCTCAGCTGTCCCCAGGCTGTAACACCTCTCTTGAGCTGGAATCCTGGTAAACAGCCAGCCAAATATGTGTCACCAGTGATGTCCAACCATACTGAGCTGCAGTAACATAGCCTGTAGGTTAAGGGAAGTGCTTATTCCCTGTTACTCGGCTCTCGTGAGAACAGAGTTTTGGGCTCTGCAGTACAAGAAAGATACTAGTAAACTCTACTGAGTCCAGAAAACAGCCACCCTATGAGGAGTGGCTAAAGGACTTTGGAAGAAAAAAAAGTGGTTGTGATCATGAATGGCCTTTTAAAATTCCAGGCTCCAAAAACAGGGGAAAATCTGGAACAAGATTTTCCACCACAAGATGGTGGAAGGCGATCAGGTCAGGGATTATTTAAGCAAACTGGACATATGTAAGTCCATGGGACCTGATGGGATGCACTCAGGCTTACTGAGGAGCTGGCTGTGATGTCACTGCAAGGCCACTGTCAATTACTTTTGAACAAACATGGCAGTTGGAAAAGGTGCCTGAGGACTGAAGGAAAGCAAGTGTCACTCCCATCTTCAAAAATGGTAGGAAGGAGGACTCAGGAATCTAAAGGCCACTCAGACTCTTCTCAGTATCTGGGAAGATGATGGAACAGCTAAGCCTGGAAACAATTTCCAGGCACTTGAAGGACAAGAAGTTGGTCAGTTGGCATGGATTTACTAATGGAAATCATTCTTAACCAACCTGATAACCTTCTATGGCAATATGACTGTCTCGATAGATGAGGAGAGAGCAGTGAATATTGTCTGTCCTGACTTCAGTAAGACCTTTGGCACTGTCTCCTTAGAAAGAAGCTGGATAAGCAAACACTGAATTGGACTGAAAACTGGCTGAATGTCCTGGCCCAGAGGGCATCAGAGGGGATCGGTGGTATGAGTCCTGCTCAACATCTTCATTAATGATCAGAAAAATTCCCTCAGCAAGTATTCTCATGATACAAAACTGGGAGGAGTGGCTGAAACAGCATGGGGATGTACTGTTGTTCAGAGGGACCGTGACAGGATGAAAAAATGGGCTGGCATAAAATTCAACAAGGGCAAAGTCCTGCACCTGGGAAGGAATAACTGCCTGCACCAGTTTGTGGTGGGGGCTGACTGGCTGGAAAGCAACTCTGCAGAGATGGTGGCACTAAGCTGAATGTGAGCCAGAACTGTGCCTTTCTAGCAAACAAGGAGAATGGTATCAGAGCTGCATCAGGTGAAGGGATTTGAACCTTCTTTTATACTCAGCACTGGTGAGTATAAAACCTGGAGTTCTGTGTCCAGTTCTGGGTTCCTCAGTACAGGAGAGGTATGGAGCTACTGGAGAGAGTGCATCAAACAACCACAAATATGTTCAAGGGACTGGAGCCTGGGAATGTTTACTCTGGAGAAGATGCCTGAAGGAAGTGTGCAAAGATAAGGAAGCCAGGCTCTTTTCCATGGTGGTCAGTGACAAGACAAGAGGCAATGGCAAAAACTAAAACACAGGAAATTTTACCTGAGGATGAGGAAACACTTGTTTACTGTGAAGGTGACTGAATGCTGTCACAGATTGCCCAGAGAAGTTGTGGAGTTTTCATTCTTGGAAGTACTCAATAGCCATCTGGACATGGCCTGGAGAGTCTGCTCTAGTTGAACCTATTTGAGCAGAGACATTGTACCAGATGACCCCCACAGGTTCCTTTCAGTATAAATAATTCTGTAATTGGAATGGAAGGCTCTGGCAAGATATAAGTGGGGGTGTGGAAGCTCAGGAGTTTACCCCAGAGGTAGTCAAGCATTGCAATGGGTTGCCTGTAGAGGTTGTGGGATCTCTAGAGGTTTTCAAGACTGAGCCTGTTGTCTGGGTTTCCTGTTGACCGTGTTTTGAGCAGGAGATTGAGGTCCCTCTGACCTGAATTATTTTAAATCCAAGTCTGAGTCTTGTGATAAGCAAGTGAAAAAACTGAGTTGGTAGCTCTAATTGTTCATACATGTGTTTTTCGACTAATGTTTTCCAGTTATAACTGTGCATATTGACGTCCTCTGTGGTGCTGAAAAATTCTTTGTGATGGATTCTGACACTGTTGAGATGGCATAAACAGCCCAGTAAATAAGAGGAACTGCATCCTGCAAAGTGTATTGGCCAGGAGAGGGGGTTATGAAGGTTGATTATGTTGGAAGGCTGAAGACTGGGATGGTGTGACTCACTGCCATTCTGACCACTGATGAATACAAACCATTTACTTATGAGTGTTGTGAAGGGTGAAGTTGTCTGAGCATGCTGTTCTTTCTATCCCTTTTGTGTTAACTAACTGACATATTCATACTGCCCCATGGCAAATGCTGCATGTTAGATTGCGTGGGCAGTAAGGAATCTGTCCCCAAAGGTGCCAAGGTGAGCTAACACAAGTTGTGTAGATATAGCCTTTGAGACTTGGGTAATCACAGACCAATGGATGGACTCAGAAGTAATGCCATGTTTGACCTTGTTCTTTGAGTAATCTTATCTCTGGGAAGAGAATGAGAGGAAAATATAATTTGTAGCTTCTTACAGTTTTGTTAGAATTCGTAAAATGTAAGGGTAATGTCTTACTGGGTCTTGAAAGTGCAAAGGGCAAAAAGCATGGTTGCTTTATTTTCATTTGATTTACAACACCTGCGGGGAGTGAGAGGGCAGGGGCAGGTTTCCCCAAATATTTCCAAAGTTATTCTTTATCTTTAGAAAACATAGATAACTTGTAAATAAAATATTTTGAAGGGGGAAAATTGTGAATATAGATGACAGCATCTTGTGTAAGTAGTGTTACAGGTAGTAGTGCAAGTTTTTCTCATTACTAAGAAAAGATAGGGTGCATAGTAAGAAAACAGCTTGGCTAAACCATGAATTCTTTGTGGACCTCAGGCATAAGGAAGCATTTAAGAATTAGAAATAGTTCAGGTCAATAGGAATGAGAATATATGTTTATTATGAACCGATTGGCACAGAACTGGAAATGTTGAGACACAAAATGGAATGCAGGAGGTGTACCAAGGAAAATATCTGTCTGCTGCTCAACACAGAGAAAGAACTGTAAGGAGGTGGTCCTGAGAAGGCTGACAGTGGTTAATGTTTTGGGAGGGCTTTTTGTACCTCTTTCTGTCATGTGCGTTGTGGGAGGGCTAATCTGTTGTCACTGCAAATACCATTGCAAACAGGTGATGATTACAACTAACCACAATTAATGCTGATAGCAGAAAGATTCAACTTTAAATTGTGGAGTAATAGTTAAAATAACTGAGTGTAAGATCAGCTGATTCAGATTAACTCAAATTGTATTCTACTTAAAGAACTGCCTGCCACTCTCATTTACAATTGAGAACTCATAAAGACCAAGTGAGAGTGGAAAAAGAGCTGTGAGGAAGAAAGGAAAGGAACACAGCCAAGGCACTGTAATCTGCTTAATTTCTGTTTCTGGAAAAATACTGGAAGAAATAATTTTTAACCACTTAAAAAAATGAGACGAGTAACAGCTAGTGTATGCTGTTCAAGAACAAATCATGTCAGACAAGTTTAATTTCCTTATAAAATGAAGTGCTGACCTTCTGACACAGTAGTTGTGTGTATTGTATATTTGGATTTAAATAAGGATCACATGGCCCACAGTGAGCAAGGTAGGTCTAGATGAAAGTAAATGTATAGTAGGTGCAGCATTATTCGAAATTCTTGGCCTTTGTAGAGTAACTGTTAAAAGTTTACTATCAAATAGTGGGATGCATGGAGTGGACTTAAGGGACTTGGTGCTGAGTCTGGGACCATTCCATATTGCCATGGGTATTGGAATAATGGGGTGTGATTCAAATGCAAAATATTCTTGACAGTATAGAAAATAATAATCTGGAAAAAACTGACTGTTCTGTTTAATATGGACAATATAGTATGCTTATACATCAATAATTAATTTACAAAGAAAGGCAAAGGAGCACATGGCTGGATTTGGAAGATAAACTGTCATGCTAATGACACAAATGAACGTAAGTCATCAATATCACTATGCCCCTAAAAACTGGATACCATCTCCAGGTTAAAAAGGAGAGTATGTTCTAAAAAATACCTGAAAAAATCCTACCACAGAAATCAATGATGAGGTAAGACTTTGTAAAAAATATGTGCTAATCAGAAAAATTCCAAACAATGGTAAACAAAAATTTTAAGGATCTGTAAAATTTTTCCTATTGAGTTAAAAAATAAAATTGTTATCCTTAAGTTTGAGAAGGCTGAATGATATAGTGCAGGAATGATAAAAGTCTTCAAACTAGTAAAAGTCTAGGATAGAAAATTAAGAGTTTAAATTGCAATGGGGAAAATGCAGTGTAGGAGGAAGGAACTGTCCACAGGTGAGGTTAGTGAATTCCTGGAGAAGGCTGAGTAGAAATATATTGAGTCTTTGAGGCTTTTAAGATTATATTAAGACAAACATAAGATTATATTAAGACATATAATTGTCTTATATTAAGACAAACATCTGTCAGCAGTGATACAGGTATAGTTAATCATGCCTTGGAGAAGACATTAGTTCAAGTATTTCATAGTTAAATGGTTTCCAAAACAGATAGTGGTTCATAATTTCAATAATATATGAAGAAACTTTTAGAAGGAAAGCCATTAAGCTGTAAATGCAGTTATGTTACAGTTTCTATTATCCTTAGCATGAATACATGAGAATCGTGGATTAGGGACCACAGCTTTCATATTCGTTTCCTTCCCAGGTATTTTCATCCCCTAATGGCTTTCATTTTGTGAAGTTACCAAGGCAAGTACTGTTAGTACCCTTTCATATGCACAGGGCCACTGGAATTATACAAGTGAAGTATTTAGCCTTCATACTGAGGCTTTAGAAGGGCTAAAGTCCAAATGAAAGCAAGTCATTGCAGGTTTATTGTCCGTATTAAATTACACTATCAAAGTATGGTTGATCTTAGATTCCAGAATGTGATTGTAAGGTTGGCATTAACAGAGAACTTTTTTTTTCACTGTAGATAGTGCATCGTCAAAAATTGATCATTACCATGGAGCAAAAATGGAAACCACACAACTTCTAGACTTGCTTCATAGTCATACTGTGACTAATCTTCTTTTGCCCCAATTTCCAAACCAATAAAATTGTGATTATAAGGCTTGCTTACCCTGTACTTAAGATCAGGTTCACCAAGATATGTGCTGGCAGCTTTGTAAAAGTGCAACCTGGGAGTTTTACATTTCCTAGGTTTTAAACATTCACTGCTGCTGTTTACTTTGAGGGGAGAGATGTAGGGGTGTAATTGGGGGGGCGGAGTTCCTTTTTTTTTTCTTTCTTCTTTTTTCTGAAAGAACTACCATATTTTACTGATATTTTATTGTCCTGGAATTTTTTAATCCCAAAGTTGTGTGTCAGAGTTTTGCTGAGACTCTGAGGATGGGAGTATTTCAGCAGTACAGAAGACTAATATATGATTTGTGCTTTATGTAAAAGGGAGATGTACCATGATGATTTGTCTAATACTTATAAATTTTGGTTGTAGAAACAGAGAAAATAAAGGAAGATGAAGCTAACAAAGACCTGGAAACATTTTGGAAATACCTGGAGCCAGTTCTGAACAGTGGAAAGCATGGATCAAGTCTCTATGATGTTGCCAGGCTCCATCACCTAGTTAAGGAAAGTGACTTTCCCACTGATTGGTCTGACAAGGAAATGCTGGTCAGTACATTCTCTTTTCACAATGCATGGCATACTTTGGGTTTTGTAACATTTAAGAACAATTTGGAAATGCCAGGAGTTTTATCTCAGTGTTCTCTGAAACATAACCACCGTAGTTAGTATATTTGTAATCTTGAACAGAAATTATTTCCTATATATCCAACAAGATTATTCAGCATTTATTCACAAGGAGTCCTTTGAATAAAAGTACCTGATTTGGAATTTCTTGATATTGTAGGCCACAGCAGAACAGTTTTAAAACAGTTTCCAAGGCATTCACTAAACATACTTTAATTGTGGAAACATATAGGCTTGCTACTTATAATATTGCTTATCATTATACTCTTTGTATAATTTTAAAAGTGCAAAGGCTCCTTTGGGAAAGAAGTTTTTTATCTTCCCCATAATCACATGTTACAGCCTACTCATGAATATCCTGGAAGCACCTATATTCTAGCTGAATTAAAGGAAAAATGATCTGTCACTCAAAGTGTTTCAACAGATTGTGGTTATAATTTCATGAGCTCTGAAGAAGTAGAAAAATGTGTAACTTTAAAAAAAATGGGTGGGGAGTATATAAGTTCTGAAATCATAGGTGAATGGAATAAGTCTGCTCTTGTGGACTTGCTGGAGAGTCTCCGAGTCTAAGCTTGCTGTGTCTCTGAAATCCAAGATCTACAGAAGGAAAACTCAAGTTGTTAGACATTAATATAAAAATGATAGAGTATTGCATACAGCAAGTGGTCTACTCTCAGATTTGAGATCTTTAGAAAGGAAAATACTTTCAAAAATATTTTCTTTGTTCAAGAGCCACTAATGGTTAGACCTGGAAAACTTTGGACAAGCGTCTGAGTCTGTCCTGAGAAGAGGAGGGACCAAACAAATTGAATCACAGGACTGAAATTGCACTAAACCTTGCTTGTCTCCCATTGAGTAGCATCAGCTTTTGTTACTTGTGACTTTGAAAAAAATCTTGTTTTGTTTAAAAGATTGCAGATTCAAAACACTCAAATATTTTAATGAATTTTTTTATGTTCTCTAGTGATATCTTTTAAGTAATATATAAATGGAAAGATTTTATACTAACCCCTTCTTCAGAAGAGTGTTTAATTGGGAAAACAAAGGTGCAAGAATATTAATGAAAATTCTGCTTTTAGAAATAGAATTTCTTTCCCAAGTATCTCCTCCGGTCTTTAAATGTTATGAAAACTGAGACAAGTATTTCATAACTGATCAGTGATTTGAGCTGCTTGTTTTCAAGTGCCATAAAGAGGCACGGAGTTGAAGAAAGCAGATGCTTAGTACTTTTTAAAGATCCATTATTGTACTTAGTGCCTTATGTAAGCTGTGCTTCTTTACTATGTTTTATTTTAGGAAACTAAAATCGAGAGATCCAATGTTGTTAACCACCTCTTAGAAACAGAAAAGGACTGTTGACAGAAATTGTCTAAAAATTGTAATAATTTTATCCTTTCCATAATGTCTAGGATGTACAGGGGAAGAATACATCTATTAAACCTGCTGAAACTTGAGTGTTTCATGTGGTCTTCAATAAGGTTTTGGTATTTGTACAAAAACATTTCACATTTAAAATAGCAGTTGCTATTATTCTTTTTATTCCTTCCAAGGTTTGGTGAAAACCACAGTACATGACCTCAAGAACCATGATTCTTTCCTTGTCAGACTTTTGCATATACAGTGCTCTCCCTTTGGACATTTGGGCAGTATGCTGACATTGCTTCACTCACAAGTATGGATTCCAGAGTGCATTTCTTGAGGCTTTCTTTGTTTTCAAAGAGCAACAGAAAGATAAAAAATATTACGAAATGACATTGATTACCTGTTTGGGTTTTTTTTTTTTTGTCCTTCTAGGGCAGGGTTGCCTTGCAAATATGCTGCAGCTTGATCACTAGTAAAAACAGACACATATTGTGTAAACCAAATACTTTAATTTTCCTCTCGTCTGCCTTCCCATGTGAAAAAGATGGCAGATGCAAGATGGCAGACCATGAACAGTTACTGTTAAGACAAGTTAGACTTTATAAAAACTAAAACAGTTAGGCAATATACAGTCCATACTGTAGTTTGGCAGTGTTAAGGCAAATAAAAATGGGGAGGCTTTAGAATAACTTTACAAAGCATTCTGAGTTAGTGGAAGAAAAAAATCCTTTGAAAAATGTATAAACAGATGTAGAGCTGCTGGTTAAAGAGCTAATGACTCATGTCACTAAATTACATGACACTTTTATATGCAAACTTCATCCGTTGTATTTTCTCTCGTAGCTTGCATTTGGTACTGTGCTGTTTGAACACATTGCTCGTTTGATGTATGATTGCCTGGACTGGAAAAGGCAGCATTGCAACTACTTGGAAAACACCAACTTTATTAATGTGCCTACGTTATCAGAGAGCAAATCACCACAACAATCTGTAACTGAGGCAAGGATCCTTCTCTTCTTGTAAAGAATAACTGCTTATAGACAAGAATTGCCTGTTTTTAATTTTAAATCAAAAATTCAGCTTGGACCATTGCTCTGAGTAATTTTCTGTGAATAAAATTTCGATTTTTGTCTTCAGCATTTAAAACCTAAAAAAAAGGAGAAAAAATAGTTGAGATTGGGGAAATAGAAAAAGGAAAATTGGAAGGATCATACCAGTATAGTGTAAAAATTCCTTAAATAGCTCTGATCGATATGCCTGCACAGAGCTACTATGTCTTGTTGCACATCTGTGAACTGTCAAAAAAACCCAGATTATTAGTTCTATGCAAGATCAGTTTCCTTATTTTGTTCATGGTAGGAAAAACTTAAGTGGGCAGAAGTGGCTTATATAGGGCATGTACTAGTAGCAGAGATGAAATGGATTTACTCTATCTGTAGCAGTACTACTGATTTAAAACATTCATAAAACTACATTCTTACTGTCTTGTTCCATTTAAAAGTTTAGCATCTAGTCGAGCATGAGTAACCAAATCTGAATGAAATTAATTTTCCCACCTATTTGTGCAATCCTTACTTGTTGTATTGTTTCTGATTTTTTTTTGTGTCTATATTTTTGTTTATTTAGGTTGAACCAGCATCACACATGACCCCTCCAAAGAAAAAAGGGAAAGCAGAAGAAGTTCTGCCAACAGAAATTTTGTCACAGGGTATGTTTAAAGGATTAAAGCACTCGTGTAGTTGTTCACTTTGTTGAACCATTCATTCAGCTGACAACACAAATCCTTGAAATTATTTGTGCAGTAAGCTGAAGATGTTGTGAGAATCGGTTCTTAGTGAATACATTGTGTAAGTCTGAAAACTGCAGTGATGGTAACCAAGTTTTTTAGAAAATCCCATTTTCTGTGTTTCTGATCACAGTCAAATTTAAATTATCGACATTAATGAACATTGTTAGTCTCTTTTTAATAAAAATTGTCTGAAGTTTCATAGAATCACGGAATATTCTGAGTTGGAAGGGACCCAAAAGGATCTTCGAGTCAAACCCCTGGCCCTGCACAGGACAGCCCCAAGAGTCACACCATGTGCCTGAAAGCACTGTCGAAACACTTCCTGAACTCTTGTCAGGCTTGGTGCTGTGACCATTTCCTGTGGGAGCCTGTTCCCGTGCCCAACCACCCTCTGGGTGAAGAACATTTTCCTAATATCCAACCTAAACCTCCCCTGACACAACTTCAGGCCATTCACTCAGGTCCTGTCACTGGTCACCACAGAGCAGAGATCAGTGCCTGCTCCTCCTCTTCCCCTCATGAGGAAGTTGTAACTGCAATGAGGTCTCCCCTCAGTCGCCTTTTCTCCAGGCTGAACAGACCAAGTGCCCTCAGCCGTTCCTCATACGGCTTCCCCTCAAGGCCCTTCATCACCTTCATTGCCCTCCTTTGGATGCTCTCTAAAAGCTTAATGTCTTTTTTGTATTGTGGTGCCCAAAACTGCACACAGGACTCGAGGTGAGGCCGCACCAGTGCAGAGGAGAGTGGGACAATCCCCTCCCTTGACCAGCTGATGCTTTGCCTCATGCCCCCCAGGACACGGTTGGCCCTCCTGGCTGCCAGGGCACTGCTGACTCATCTTCAACTTGCCATCGACCAGGACCCCCAGGTCCCTTTCTGCAATGCTGCTTTTTTGGCATCTTGTTCCCCAGTTTGGATGTACGTGCAGGGTTACCCCATCCCAGGTGCAGAATCTGGCACTTTCCCTTGTTAAACCTTTTAAACTTGTTAAATAGTGTTCGCGATTGCCCAGCCCTGTAGTTTTATCAAGGTCTCTCTGCAGGGCCTCCCTGCCTTTGAGGGAGTTAACAGCTCCTCCCAATTTTGTGTCATCTGCAAACTTGCAGAACTAACTTGGAATATAAGTTGACATTTCTGAATAAATAGATCTTAATGTTTTATCTCTTATTGCAACAGCTGAAGAAACTTCTTTTTTGTCTCCTTCCGTGGACATGAGGTTTTACAATGACTTGCTGAGTCAGATTCCCGAGGAATACTTTTCTGTACCTTTAATGCTGAGCTGCATGTTGGAACAGGTGGGAATGTTCTCTGTTTAATTTCTGTGGCCTAGACCTCATCTAATGAATTGGTCAAAGATCAATAAATCCCTCTGTTTCAACCTGAAATATGACACTGTGCGTGGAAGCACTGAGCAAGGAGGTTCAATATGAAGCAATCAAAACTCCAATGTGCCGTCTGATTTTCTTTCATGTTGTGCACTTACCCTGCATATACAGTGTTAGTCCATAATTAATTTTTGAAGACTATAAATACAATTAAATAAGGTAAAAGGTGTAATTTCTTATCTAGATCAATAACAAGTTTTCATGTCCTGCGACAATGTTATCGATATTGAACTTCTGCTGTTTTACTTGATTCAAATGTCTTAGGGCAAGCCTAACATAGAAGTGACATATGTCAATTTTAGTGCTAGACAGATCTGACTTCTGTTAAGTTCAAGCACAGTCTATAATTTAGAAGAGACCCACAATATGATTTGGAAATTCTCCTTCTTTTAGGAGTAAAATTTCTGAACAATTTTGGAGTTTTTTAGTATTTGTAACTTAGTCTGTAAATAGACTCAGGCAAGAATACTCTAAGTCAAGTCCAACCTAATAGACAATCAATTTTTAATTACCTGTGTTAATTCAGAATTCTTAACATTTCAAGTTGGAATATTTTTCTTCTCATCCTTCCAAAAATTAATAATAAGAGAAAACACTTAATTCTGTTTTCCATAATCTTTGTTTTGGGCAAGAACTAACTTAGGAAATTGTATTTTTGCTACTTGTAGAAAAAAATTTTGGTTTTCTTTCTTGACAAAATTTAGGGTCCTGTGCTTAGCTTATAGCAGGATCTGCTTGCTAGTTCTAATAAAGGTAAGCAGCAGTCAATACTGTAATGAAAGTTAACATATATTATGTTTGCCAGGTTATTGCGAGTGAAGAAGACCTTACACCACCTAGTCTGGTGGTACAAGAGCCTCAGGCAGATGGGTTTCGTCGTGCCATTGCAGATCATATAGTCTCTGTTCTTCCTTCTCTTTCGCTTTCTTTGAGTGAAAAGAAGGTTTGTATTGTCTTTTGTTTATCTCCTAAAATGACAAATAATCTCATTATTGGGATGTAATAATTCTTTCTTTTTTCTAACAGAATCTATATGACTACTTTTCTTCTAAGTGCAGTGAAGAAAAGACTGTCACCCCCCAGTACCCTCTCTTATTTAACTACCATGATACCCTGGCTCAGCGGTTGCACCTGCTGAAGGTATCGTTCTACCTATCATATAGAAACATTTCCCAGGTCCACAGGCAATGAATGCTCAATGCACTAGAAGGGATGGAACATTTTACAAAACAGAACAGCATAGCCTAGATTTTTTTCTACTGAGATGGACACACCAACATGTTTAGTTCACTTAAGAAGCAATGAGGACACCTTACAAATGTAGAGAACAAACATATTGATTTCAGTGATCTATTTGCATTATTAATAAGAATGTTTAGCCTTTGGCAAAGATCGGAGATATTATAGAACTCTGTTGATTTACTGTAGTCAAATACCGATGAAACTATGGAAAATTAGTTTCTAACTTGATCATGATGATTTAGCAGTTAGACTAGATTGAATAATAAAATGTAGAGAAGCATAAGAAAATGTATGGAGTCAATGAACACAAGAAGTATATTCAGGGTGGCTGAATAGTTGGAGCATAGTGTATAACCAAGATATTGCCAAATTTTAACAAAGGCAGAAAGGTTCAGAGACTGCAAGGTTTGGGATTATTGCAAAGTAACAGTTCCCAGACTTTCTGAACCAAAAATACAGTGAATTTATCAATTTTTTCCAAAGCCAAGGTGTAGTTGTACCATTAAACTTTGAAAATTCTCTGAAGGTAATACAAGTGATAGTACAGTTCTAGATTTCACAGCTAAGATGTGTCTGCCTGGCTTCATGAACTTCAAATTGTCTATGGAATGTTTAACAACAATTGATTAGACAATATTCAGAAACAAGTCAAGTTTGACGCAGTGGATGCATTCAAGCAGAAGGGAGGACTGAGTAATCTCTGAGAGAGATGCTCTTAGCAGGCATATGCTTGATGCATTTCATGTACTTGCTGAAGAAGAAATTCAGGATATAGCACATTGTTTGAGGAATAGATAGAGGAAAAGGATTTGGAATATGCAGTCTAAGAAAAAGTACTATAAGTGTGTAATACTAAAAATGGTGAAACTGAAAGATACCAGAAAGTCTGAAAAGATAAATGCCCCCCATCACAGACTGATCAATGAGTTTACAGATTGTATTACTATGAAAAGTAGCACAGACCACCTGAAAGGTACATGGAAGGAACCCGCTACCACTCTGAATAGACCAGTACATATTTCTGTATTTTTGAGTCTAGCTAGCACAGGCAAATAACTTCTAACAAATGTCTGTTATTATCCTGTCAGTCATTCTCTTATGTGATAATTTTTTTTTCTGCCTAAATATCTGACACCATGATTCAAAACCACACTATGAGCACATGCTCAAATTTAATTTTACATCCAACTGAGTTAAGCACATGCTAGTATCTTCTGCTATAAGAAGACTTCTTTATTCAAATGTAATTTTTAGAAATCCACTAGTGAGAACGTTTACTTTAACTCTGGTACTTTCATTTTTGTTCCAGGCCCAGGAGAACTTAAATCCGGAAAATATTGAGCGTGAAATGATGAATAAACTGCCTCTTACAGAACTTACCCATTTCACCCTTCCTTCAACTAAAAATAACCCTAAACACTTGGCCAGAGTTCATGAGCTCATGCATTATTGTACCAGTGGTAAAATTATTTTCATTGATATAACTGCCATTTTTCTTTCTTCTGGTTGATGATCCATTAAATAGCAAGAATTTTGAGACAAGTTTTTTCAGCTGCCAAAAAACCTTTGCAGAATTTCCCATTTTCACATTCTTGCTTATAAATACTTATAGCCTACTATACACAAGTTAACCCTCATTTCAGACCTCAATTTCATGGTTAATGGGAAAGACTATATGAGTATTAAATACTGCATGAGTAAGAGCTAGAAGTATGTTAGAACTCCTTTATTTATTTGTATTCACAAACATACAAACAATTACTAATTCTAAGGAAGAAAAAACTGTAAAAATCACAAATTTGATCCTAGGATATGTAATGCATTTTGAGAGACGCTGATGTAAATTGTATATTTATTTACCCACACCCTTTTGGAGGAGGAGCACATATATCTTAGGGAGGCAATTTTTATTGAACAATAAATGGCTTTCAGAATGTATTCTGTGTAAGTATTGGTATTAATAATAAAACTACTTTATAACAGTACCTGTATCAAACCAAGAATACATGCACTTCTTCAACCATAATCACTTCTGCAGTTACCTTTTCTTGGAGTGCTTTCTGCCATAAAGTACACTGGGAAACAATCCCAAAGCCTACATAAATACCCTTAGGTAGTATCAAAAGTCCTCTCTAGGCTACTAAGAAGTATAAACATTCAAATCCCTGTGGTTATATTTATATCATCATGTAAGGCACAGGATTTGAAGGTACTTTCCCAGCTATTTCATCCTGAGGTCCCGTGTGTTGGATTAATTTACACTCGCTATGTTGTTTCTAGTTGTTGGTATGTTCATTTTGGACAGTAAGGTGTATAAGGTATTCAGTATTGCTGTAGCATTCCAGCTGAGTTTTAAATTTGATGGTCTTTACTGGACTATACTGTGGTGCCATACTCTCCCAACTGGTAACTTAGCTAGCAATGCCTTTGCTTGTGTCAAGAAGGTGATTGATTGATTTGAAGGGATGATGCGATATCCAACATTTTCGAGATGTATGACATGCTTGGGTGCTTAACTACCCTGAAGTGAAAACATTTCAAACTGAAGACACTCTATATTTGATTTGGGTATTGTACTACCTGTCTTAAAAATCAGTCCTTTGCTTGATTATCACTGTTATATAGACACTGATGCATACAACCATACATAGGCTTTATTATTGCCTTTGCACCTGGCATACTTCTGTGTAAATTATGTGTAAAATTTTGTCTGAAGAGAAAAAAACGTTTGATACTTGTCTGAGAAGCTACAGAAAATAAAAAAGTTTCATGAACTGAAAATAACTAGCTGTTAACTGGTTTGATAATGTCTACTCAGTGTTTTAAAATCAACATCATTTATATAAACTTAATGAGCCAGAAGGTATTCAAATGTAGGAACCACTTCATTTAAGATGGATTAATATTTAGGCATATCATTTTGCAATTTGGAAGCATTCAACTTTGAATGCAGTGTAAAATGTAGCCCACATAAGTTGATCCAATACCATTAAGGAAATTGGTGTTGTCTTTTGCAAAGTTGCCAAGAACAATACACTTAAATAGTCTTCTATTTATCTTCTGCTGAGCTGTAAGGATGTTTTCAGTTAATGATTGTAATTCTTTTTCAGAACTTCTGAGTTGGGCTGAAGTAGAAAGAGCCTTTAGAGTATTTACTTTTGAAAGCCTGAAGCTGACCTGGCTGAGTGACTCTGGTTTCCTGGAGAGCTCTGGATCTATGGTTGGAGGGAATTCTGAAGTGTCTTGTATCCCTTGGGATAATCCAGACATGTTTGCAAGACAGCTGAGGCAACTCTTCCTTATGGAAAAGAAGCTTAATGGAAAATCTCCAAGAGGCTCCGGTAAAAAGCTCTCTGTTTACATTACTTCTGAAGATTTGAATCCACTATTTGTTTTACCATATCATTTGCTATTGCAGGGATGTGATTTTTTCTTCCTCGTACAAATCACAAAATTTTCAAGTATTGTATGGTCTTTACATTGAGTAACTCTGTAGGAATACTAGAATAAGGACAAAAGCTATTTTGTACTACAACATTAACAATTGTAGACAATACAGGGTGAATTTTCTGAAGTTCTACATTTTCTCCTTCAGTTTCTAACATAATGAAAAGTTGTTGGCCTGGTTAAAGGAGAAGTGTTGACCAAGAAGCAACATTAAAAACAAGTGATTATTTTTGGGGTGATGCAAGAAAAGTAGAAATTTAAGCAACTATACCTTTAGGTACATGATTATAAAATCATAGATTGTAGAATAATCATTTAGGTTGGAAGGGACCTCTAAAGGTTATCTATTCCAACCCCCGTGCAATGAGCAGGGACATTTTCTACTAGATCAGGTTGCTCAGAGTCCAATCTGACCTTCAGTGTTTCCAGGGGTGGAGCATCTACCACCTTTCTGGGTAACCTTTCCCAGTGTTTCACCATCCTCATTGTAAAAAAATTCTTCCTTATGAATCTATCCTTCCTTAAAACCATTACTCCTTATCCCATTACTACAGGCCCTACCAGAAAGTCTCTCAAGGCCACGATAAGGTCTCCCCGGAGCCTTCTCTTCTCCAGGCTGAACTTTCTAAGCCTGCCTTCACAGGAGAGGTTCTCCATCCCTCTAATCACCTTCATTGGTCCACCTCTGGACCAGTTTCAACAGATCCCTGTGCTTAGAACCCTAGAGCCGGATGCAGCACTTTGTGATGTTGTCCATCCTTTCCTAATAGAGATGTCTAAACAACCAGCTTAGATGGGATCTTTTCCCTAGAAGGTTGGAGCAGACAAAAATGAATCCAGCGTATCTGCCTCTCTTTTAAATTTTGGGAACATTTTGGGGTGTTGGTTTATTTTACTTTTATAGTAGTCACAATAGTAAATATAGCAGTTACAAGCATAACAACATTTCAGCACTTCTGCAGCACAAAAGCAAATACCAGGAAGATAAAACATTTACTTTCAGGTCTCTTCCATCTTCTAAAGGCAGTCAGTACAGAGATGTATTTTCCAAGAGAAGCAGAGCCTAAAGATATACGTCTGGAAGCTGAGCTGGTTATAAGGCACTTACGAACAAGTGCTTCATGGTGTATTTTCTCCCAGAAAGAGTAATTTTCTTGTACATGTGAATTTTCTCTTCCCTAACTCAGGACATAAAGAATTCTGTTAAAAGGAAATTATTTTTAAAAAATTAAGAGAATATAGAAGTTAAAGTCCCCATGTGATCCTGTTCATATCAGATGCTCATTGTAACAATGGAATGACTGGTCAGATCATCAGGAGAACTAATATTCAGTCAGTAGCTTATGAAACTCTACACACCAAATTAATTTAAAATTTATATTTTTCAAAAATGTGTGAACATATCAAAACAATTGATTTTACCTTCTATTTCAATGTCATCTGTGCAAAGGACTGCTTCTTAAAGTACTCAGAAAAATAGTTTATTGTGTATGAATCAGAAGGATACTTCTGAGAATGTTTTTAATGGTTTTGACTATGCAAGGCCAGCATAGGTTAGATAAAGAGGATTATTCGAGTGGGTTTTATAAAGTGTTCTTTTTCTTTTTACTTTTCTTTTTTTTTTAAATTTTATTTAACTATCTGGCACTCCTTGTCCCTGGATTTTAACATGCTTTTTTAGGAAAGAAGGGTAGCAGAGCTGATCATGTATTTATAGGACTAGTGTCATAAAAGGAAGTTTCAACTTTATGTTAATTTCATCAGGAAGGCTAAAGGAATTGCATTAATCTGACCTTAGTGTTTAGGGCTGAAATTTCTCAAACAATTCTTAAAATTCTGTTTTCAATTTCCAGGGCATACAGAAATAAATGGCAAAGATGGAAGAGATGGTCTGGCTGATCCTCTTTTGAACAAAGAATTAGATCTTCCTGTTTCTGATATGGCAAGTGTGGGGAATAGAGTCAACTAGGCTTTACATGAGGCAACAGAACATACTGTTCAATGCCAGGACATGTTACTAGGGATTTCTTTGCAATGCTGAATGCAAATGTTAATGTTCTGATGTCTGGGAAATAGTGCCATAACTTTTAAGCACTGTGAAAGCACTTTCTTTGAATTCCAAGGTGATGGGTATCAGTGAAGCTGCTAATAATAATTCTGTGCTGGTCTCACTGAATACCAGGGGTCAAATACAAACATGAAAATTTAAAAGAAAATGTCAAACTGTGTCAGACTAGTAAACTGTGTAGTTTGGCGTCTTCAGAATCACCTGTCTGCCATATATCCCTGCATAAACATAGCAATTTTAAAATGACATCACAGGACATGTTTAAATACTTATAATTGCTTACAGAACTCAGAAACATATAAGCTAATAATAAAAGTATTTGGATTATGTTTGCCATAAAAAAATCCAAGACTAAAAACCCTTGGGAGTAATTGTATTTTTTATTAAATAGTGCCATACTGGTCTGCACATAAGCAGCATTATGCAATTAACTGTGATGCAACATGTGATACTGTCTATTAAGCCAACAAGATTAGAGTTAATTTAATACAACTGACACTGAAATGTTGATATACATTAATTTGGTTTGGTGTATTTTGAGGTGAGTCTGGAAAATTACTTAGAAGAAATAAAAAAGATACAGCAGCGTTGCTTGACAGACTGGAATTTTGAGGAGCATTTTCAACCACATGTTCTTCTTCAGGTATCTGTGAACTGACAATCTTATACATACAGTCACCTATACAAAGAAGTAGTGGCAGAGTTCAGGGTATTTTCTTGCTTGATAATTGATTTAGTTCTATCTCTTTTTCATTTTTACCAAAACCCATTGTTCTTTAGCTGCTTTTAACTCTTTATGTGGAATTTAGTCTGTAATGGGTTTTTATTTCCTGGTTTGGCTGAACTAGAGCTGTCCTGTTTCATTGCAAGTCTCTTAGCTAAACATGATGGAGATAATGATGGAGACAAATGATGGAGATAAAATGACCTTGCCCTTAGGGGTGATCCTCTCTGGCAGTTATGGGGCTCATTAGTGTATGTGAAAGCATACTGTGCAAATACCTCTGCAGTATATGTTTTCTAGGCAAATAGAAAATTTTGTTGTTACGTTACTTCACCCTTTCAGGGCTAAAAGCGTCATTTATAGAAGTCCTGCTAGCTAAAAACTAAAACTTACCTTGCAGAAATGCAGAATGACAAATGTGAAAGATGAGTTCAAGTGTAGTTGGCTTAAGTTGGTAGGCATCCTCTTGGGAAGAGTGGATTATTAGTTCCTTGTAATGCCTTGAGCTTCCTATACTGCAATTCTATTTTGACCCTGACACATGCTGTACGTGGGTGAAGGAAATTCTGCTTGGACTTTTGAGCACCACTTTAGTGTCACAATTGCAAATACTGGTCATACATTTCAGTGCCAAAGAAATTATGCAATGTAAATAGCTAATGCTACCTGAACTGTCAGAAAGTCTCAGGTGACTGGAAAAAGGTTTAACATTGTACCCATCTTTAAAAAGGGTAGAAAGGAGGACCCTGGGAACTACTGACTTGTCAGCCTCCCTTCTGTACCTGGAAAGATCATGGAACAGATCCTTTTAGAATCTTCAGCTGCATAGTTTTGAAAAATAATAGTTTACTTAAAAGAAGGCTTTCTTCTAGCTATGACTAAAAAGTCACAGTTTCAGCCTGCAGACAATGTAGATATTGAAAATGATGGGCCCACTACAGAACACAGTGGAATAATGTAGAAGACAGTAAATCTCAGAGATGTGTGGGTCATAGTTATAGCAAATTGAATACCAAGTAGACTCAACTGAGATAATAAAAAAAGTAAACTTGTTTTCTTTTTACCTGGTATATGATAGTTCTGCTTTTATTTACTATTTATTTAAATATTTTATTATTTAAACTTGCTTAAGTATTTATTCAATATTTTAATTTATTTGTTTTTTATGTAGCTGAACTTTTTTATTCATGGTCAGTCTCAGAAGGTGGAGCATAGAGACTGTCTCATCTCAACATAAATAGGAATGGAGTTTCAATTTCCACCTGCCTGAACAATTCAGGTTGCTGGAATCCAAATGCTTTGAGTACACCTTGTAGGAGAGTTAAGTTCTATAGCACCTTTTATTAAAAGCTGTGTTGTGTAGCCTTTGTACATATACTGCTGTCTGCAGGGAGGGTATACCTTTATTTCTTTCCTTTTCAGGTTCTTCATACAGCATCTCAAGAATATAGATGTATTGATACCTTTTATCATAACCAAGATAACTCTTTGTTAATGGTTTTTCACAATCCTATGAATCAATATCGTCTGTGCCAAGAGACTTGGGATATTGCATTGCACTCTAATGTTGGATTCAGGTAATTGATTTTATATTTCATGTCTCATTCACAGTCGTTTTCAATAAAAGCCTTCATGGATATGCTTGGGGCAAAGCTTTGAAATTAAAAGACATTGCTATGTAACACATTTATGAAAAGCAAGTCATGCAGCTTGAAAACAGTACTGTGTTAAAAGAATTCTCTTGAGCTTTTTTGAGTAAGAACAATGCAGTAGGTTGCTCCTTATCACATACTACAAAAATATAAATAATGCACACATACACACAAAGTCATGTTTGGGATACCACATCAAGAAAATTATACTTCAGGTAAGGGATGTTAAAAAGAAAATTCTAGGTATACACTTACTAGGTTTTTCAACTATGTATGCATAAACTCAGTGATTGTAAGTGGGAAAATTTTGGGGGAAAACTAGAAGTCCTTTATTGATATTAGAACTTTTTTTTTCACAGAATACCACATTCTTCTTAATTCCTTGTCACTGTCTGCGCACCAGTTATAGGCGTGCAAATGGTTAGTGTGTCCACTATTAGAGCTTTTGTCAGTGGACCTATTTGTTTTGGAATACATTTTTGCATTGAAGAAGTGGTATAAATGATGGTGTAGATCCAACTGCTATTCGAAATAATTGACTGAAAATAGAAAAAGTGTCCATGTACTGATATGTAAAGACGTTAAATGCCATAGAGAGACAGCTGAGCTGTCTTTAATTATGTCACTCTGGTGCTCTATGGATTAATTAGATTTATCAAATAGAATTTCAAGCAAATTATCCAGTAGAAAACACCTACCCCCTATTTGTTTGCAGGCATCCCTTTCTAAGTGCAGTGCCTAATTTATCAGAATGTGGGATTTTTTTAATGGAAACTTTTGTTGGGACCTATGTATTTGAACAGGATTGAATGCTAAATAGGCAAAATGTGCCTTCCTGAAGACATATTTTGTATTGTATTTTGTATCTTTGCTCTCAGTCAAGGAGCTCTATGTGAGTCCATCTCAGCTTTCCTAGCTTAAATTATTTGCCATGAAAAGGGGCTGTTGTGATTAGCAGTGATTGCGACCAGAGCCAAAAGAGATTTACCAGCAGAAATCAAAGTTCCTTGGAGAAAATGCTGGCTGTTTTGTGTTTGTTGGGCAGATCCACTAAATGTCTGGTCAGTTTTTTTGCATTTAAGTAACACTATACCCAAAAGATAAGTGAAAGATGGTGTGTTCAAGTGAAGCTGGGTATTGCATTCAGATAGACCCAAGCAGAGAGTCAAGTTGTCTTAAAGTCTGTTTCACAGAAATCTGTTGAAGCCCAGAGCTTTTTATTCTGGCAGCTATTCTTACTCTTATTTGTGTGGCACTGGACTTTAAAATGCCTAATTCAAGTTTCTTAAATATAAACAGCTGGTGCCAGTTTAGCTGCCTGGTATATTTGAGTTGTCTGGACAGGGCTGACACATATGACATGAGACCCATAGGAGACCCATAGACTTTTGGAACAAACACCAGAGACCAGGTCACATACCCTAGTACATCGAACATGTCACTTGGTGTTTGCATACACTGAATAATTCCTCATCCCAACAGCATATTGTTGTTGTGTTGTCTGTAGAAGCAGGTAGGGATGTACCAGACCTCCTCTGGAAGCATTTCTCCCTGAAACAAAAACTGTTCATTTGTAGGGTTGTAGAGCAGATTGGCTGGTCCCCTTTGACAGGACGTTGAAATAGTTCAAGGCCAACTAAGAAATGCAAGGAGCTCTTGATACATGCAAAAAAAAAGTTGCTAATTTTGCACCCAAAGAAGGAATGAAGCATGTTCTCTGGTAGATACATTATAATACAGTAGCTGTATGTTTCCTTCTTCTTACTCTTCCACATCCACTGGAAACACGGCTTAGACATTAAAGATTGTTTCTACTTAGGGCAGAAACATCTTTGTCCAGTGACAATTCATCAGGTTCTGTTTCAAAGCAGCAAGGAGTTCCTAAAGAAACTGATATGAAAGCTGCAAGAAGGTTTGGCTTTGCTTTTGTTTCATAGAAGTATTCAACACCACTGCTGTGTAAGCTACTTAGAATCTTTGAGGAGCTGTAGGCCCTCTTTCAGTTCTGTTATGTGGCATCAATACCTACCAATTCTCTGCAAAATAACCGGCACATTTTCAGGACTTATTCAGCCTTTTTGCTAAAGGTAATTTTAGATTTCCAGACAAAGTATCATAAATAATTGCTAGTGTATGTTTCCAGGCAACATAACACTTCTGTGGAAGACAGTCTTTAAATACCTGGAGTGCTTCAAGCTGTTGCCTGCAATTAGCTTCCAGATCCTGCTGAGTTGCCAGAAACTGGCACAAATCCCACTCATTAATTAAGTGGTTACTGGCTTTTACCTTTGTATGAAATAACTGACTCCTGGTGAGTTTACTATCAATTTATTGGGTTTTAATTTATTAAAATTACTATCATTCTAATTTATTTAAGAGTCACAATGTTACCACAGGAGAGTTACAAATGCATAACAGATGCTGTGCTTGACAATCTCTCTGATAGGAGTTCTCTATCTGTTTACTTGTTGCTTCTTTATTGTGACATCTTATAGACCACAGACCAACTTTGTAGGGTCATTTCATAGTTGCTATCTGGAATATACTTCTGTTACCTGCTAATCAGTTGGTTACAGAATCACAGAATAATTTCATTTTGATTACAGTGAGTTCTGTTACAGGAAATTCTCATACAAGGGGGAAATTAAATTTCTCACGTTGCAGCAGCTTTTGCTCCTGGAGACCCCAGTTACCTTCCTTCTCTATGGATATCAGGTCCTGTGGTTCATGTAGAACATCCAAAAATTCAGAAATTATACCTTTTAAAGGGTAGGCAGCAGGAGGCTGCATATGAAATTCAATGGATGCTACTGACTAAGGGAATGCAAAGGCGTGGATACGTGCATCTGCAGTGATGTGTGTATATAAAACATTTTAACTCTGGTTAGGATAAGTGGCCACTTTGTCAGGAAGCCAAGTGAATTCAGACATTATCAAAACTAATTTTTGCACAGAGTTAATGGCATTTATTTACTCTTTCATAGTAAACACATTATGCAAGTTACTGGAAAAGAATAATCCTTTCTGAGAAATGGTTCTGAGTCAGACATTGGCAGTAGGGGCATCAGAATACATATTAATAGAATGTGTATTTTAGACTTTGAATGACTGTTTCATTGCCCTAAAATATTTTCCACGCGAATAATCTCTTTTTATTTATAACATATATTCATCTTCCAGTTATTCCAGTACTGGCAACACTATGTTCCAGACTAGTTTTGCCTTTTGTTTTCAACACTATGGGTTTTTATGGCTTGTACATTTTTCTTCAGATACAAGCAGAGTAACCTTGTCCCAACTGAGTATGATATATATGATCAACAGTTTCTCCATGCAAGTTTCCCAAAGCAGTCTCCACCTACACTGCAGAAGCTGGGAGAGACTTGTGTATCTTGAAGCTGTACATGAACTGTATACATCTCCAGTCTGTGTACATGACCTACATATTAATTCTCTTGTACATACAATGTAATGATGTAACAAGAACTTTGAAATGGTCACGAGGTCACAGATTGATTGTGTTGCCTGCATATTCATAACCAAAACCTGTACTCCATATAGACCTTTTGAATACAATTGAATAATCTCAGACTTATAAATGCAAAGTATCACGAAGACACAACAACTGAATGGGATACATTCTTCAAAATCCCCATTTTAATTTTGCACATATGAAGAATTTTACTTTAAAGAATTATGGTAACCCTCCAAATGAGGGGTTGAGTGGCAACTGCATATAAGACTTCCAGGCTTCCTCCTGCCTTGAAAGCAGTTTTTCACAATGAACTAATTTAGCAGTCATTTCAGACACCTTTGGAAAATGAGACAATGTAACTGCAGATACCAACTGCAAACTCTGGATCATTCAGTTCTCACTTCAACTTAATTGTTAATTGTGAATATTCTTCATTTATGCCAGGTCATGGTGCACCGATTCTCTAATCTGGATTTGGATGACAATTTCCAAACACCCGTCTTGTCACACCATAAAGAAGAGCTAGGAATTAAGTACAATAACACCTCAATTTCTGAACAAACAAATGAAGTGTATTCTAAAAGATAATATTAATCAAGAGCAACTAAGAAAATAAATTATTCTGGTGGCAAAACAGTGAGGAGAATGAGTCTGATCCTTTCTGAAACTGACTGTCTTTATGTTTTGTGATTTCCTGGATTTTTCTTTAGGAGCAGGTATTCTTTGGAAGACAAGTTTCTAATATCTCTTTGCAGAAAGGATAACCAAAATTCCAAATATAACAGATATTAAGCAAATACCGACCAGGCGCAAAAGTACCAGTTCCTGTAAAAACAGAGAGAAACCCTGTCAAACACCAGCCTTCTCTCAAAGAGAGAGAGCCTTCTCTCTTACTTGTATAAGAAACTGAGAAGCCAAGTGGTCTTGTTTGACCTGAAATCATATTAGCAAAAGCTGTATTATGTTAAATAGAGGGATATTCTGCTTTTCAGGAATTATCTCGAGCTGGTGGCTAACTCAATTGAGGACTGGGTGAGAGAGGAAGAAGCTAAATACCAAGAAGAGAAGATGGGTAAGGAAACAGAGTCTTTTAATTTGGAAAAAGCCATGGTAGAAGGCCCTTTTGAACTGTCTGCGTGTGCTGTCAAAAAAAACTGGCTTTACTAAGAAAGCCAAAAGTGGGTATCTTTTTATTCTAGAAAATTAATTTTTCACTTTAAGTGCTGAGGCCCAAATCTATTCAGAGCAGAACTGCGTATATTTTTTCCTAGGATGACCTTGTTTTGACATCTATAAAGGCATAAATATGTTTTGGAATTAATTAAATGCATGTATTTGTATGGTCTGCATCATTCTCTGTTCTGAAAACTGACACCTCTGGTATCAATTTACATTTACAATAGTTGTGCTTATCTAATGAAATTACTTTAAAGATTACATACAAATATGAATCTTTGTTGAGATCACTGAACACATGAAGAGATGAGCAGTAGTTAAAGCTGGCAACATGGTTCAGGAAAATTCTTTTTTAAAGGGCAGGATAAAAGCTGGAAGTCAGAAGCTGTGGGCTAAGAGCTAAAACTGGAATTGCCTAGACCTGCAGAGCAAACTTGAATTACAGGCAACATTTTGGGTAGTGAGAATTGTAAGCAGTTCATACAGTAACTGTTCAGCAGACAGCAAAATCTGAAAACCCCTATTAAGAAAAAAGAACTTTTGTCAAATTTGTTCATTTGTGTATCTAAATTATATTAACAGTTATTTATTGATGTTTCACCTTTGCTTTGTTTACCTTTTTTGAGAGTGCACTTTGAAGCCTTCCAGTACTAGCAGTTAGCATTTACAAAAATAGAAACGTTACTCCTCAACCCAATTAACACCTCTGATTATAGTTTGGAAACTAAAAGGACAGTTATGACTTCTATATCATAATTTGTAGGTATCTAGCTGTCACAGGACCTAGATTGAATCTTGCCCATATGGTGCCTCATGACAGATATAATTCATAGGGTAGCTCACTTGCTGAAAGAAAATAATCACCTCTAGCTGGAACATGCGATGGGCAACAGTGTCTTTGGGTGTTTTCAGTTTCACTGACGCTGCTGTAACCCACACTGCAATTTCTACTTTATAATACAAAGTAAGTTTCTGATAGGGGACTTTATCTTTTCTAAAAGGTAAATATTGGGTATCCAAGCATACTATAAAACTACACTCGTAGAAGATACCCTTTTCATAAGTAATAGATGCTATAAAGCCATAATAGTAAACAAGGGATATGTTTTTTTCTTTAGTGAAAGTTTGAAGGTTCAGACAGCATTTATTCACTTTTTTGTCTTAAAAGGTCATAATATCTATGACTCTGGTATTGAACTTGTTCTGGCTCAGTTAAAAAATAAACATGCAAACTTGTTACGAGAGCAAAGCCTTCAACAGCAAGAAGCAGAGAGTCAGTCTTTAAATATGTTAATATACTGTTTAGCATATTTGGTCCTCAATTGTGACAATCAAGTAATATTAGTTGTCAGGTAAGTTTCTTCTTACCTAAACAGACTTTCTGTTTTACTTCTAAAAATATTTAACATTTTCTTTAACTTGTATACTTTTAGTATTTCAAAATCTGCATTTTTTATTTACTTGCACATCTTTTATTTTTATTTTCCCATTTTTAAAAATTATTGCATTTTCATATATTTATAACCTCACTTATTTTCCCTTTCATTTCTCAAAGGCAAAACATCAGGACCTGAGAGCATAAGAGAATCTCAATCCAACAATGGAGAAAGTCCCATTATCAGAGAAGATTCTTTAAAGGTGAGGCAAAAATATATATGTTTCCGAAATGGACTAAAAAGCACTGCTTTCTTATGAAGGTAAGCCTTTGTTCTTACAAAGGTTTCAGGGTTGACTGAGTTCTCTTAGTTTTTCTGCTCTTGGCTATTTTTTGTATATGTTATTTTCTTTAATTTATTCCTTATTCATTGTGAGTTATGTTATTTTCTTAAGGGAAGACTGCTTGGAGTTAGACTAGACATTCCAAAAGCAATTCATAATTGCAATACTGGAAATAAGAGTTATTAATAATATCCTACTATTCTTTAAGTTTTCAGATTGGAAAGATATGAAAAGATAAATCCAGATTCATGAAAGTATGTGTGTGCCCCACTCCATCTTTCACTGTCTACAGCTCTTTGAAATTAGGGAATGTAAATACAGTACCTCAGAATTCCCTTATGACAGAGAATCCCATGTTATGGATGTAGTTCATGACCATGCACTACAGATTAATTGACTTGCCCAGGTTTACACAGTAAGTTTCTGGTTGGTGTAGGAGTTAAGCACACATTTTTTTTAAGGCTTAGCACTGGCATTATCCATTAATCTGCACAAATCTAGATTTATTGATGTTGTAGTCCCTCTTTTTTTTGACTCCTCATAGCTATAGCATGTCATGTCTCATCTTTTTTACAGTGTATAATGTTGTCCACTTAAAGTACTGGAATGTAGATATGAAATGGCATTAACCAATTCCTGGCTACTCAACTTGAACTGGCATCGCTCAAATTAGGCTAATCCCTAACTTGTAACTCTGAATGCTTGCCATTTCTTCCACAGAAATGCTTGTGCTTTGGTATGCTTAGACTATAAAGTGCTACAAAGCCCAAAATAGTCCAGAAAATCTCAGATGTCTTCCTAATACAAGTTGATAATTTTGGCATGCATACCTCATTCTTCTTTCTGTAAAAGAATAAAATCATTTTATCTCACAGTTGCATTTTGGGAATAAACTAATACCAGTGATGCATTGTGATTTGGTGATAAACATTGTGGACAAGTGTACAACAAAGTCATCCTTTTATGGCTAATTGTGTAAGATACAAATAATCATGTGATTCATCTCCTGTAGTCAACAATGACTGCTCTTGTCAGTTGAATGAGTCAGTGATTTTGTGCAAAATATAGTGCATAATGTTGTAAAACTTTAGACACGTTTGGAAAACATGTCTTAGAGTGACTTAGAACATTGTTTCCTTTGAGGTTGTTTGCTTGTACTCTTTCCAGCATGCACATATCAGAGAGAACCACAGTTCTTCTTAATTGCTAACATTGAATGTAGGCTTGGAAGAAGGAGCAGGACCGCTTACGAGAGGAAGAAACAAAAGGAAAGACAGAAAATTTGGGAAGTAAAAAGAAAGGACAGGAGATAATAGATGGAGAGTGTAAAGATTCCAAAGAGAAGTCTGAAAATGAGCCAACAAAAGCCTCTGAACTTCAGGAGGATCACAGCATTCCAGAACCATGTTCTGAGAAAGTTTATAAGGTAAGGACTTGTATTATTGCACCACATTAGAAAAGTGCTAACTATTTGTATAGACAGTCAATATTACAGCAAAGCTATTATCTATTGTGAAATTCAAGTTCAGGGCAAATTAAGCCTATCTGTGTTTTGTTTCACTTCATTGTTTTTGATATTTAAGATTATTTACCCTTTTTTTTATGTATATGACATGAATACAAACATAAGTTGATTGTGTTTTTGTGCCCATGGAAAATATGTTTATAGGATCAGTCTTGCCTACAAATGAGGGGTTTGTGGGAACAGAGAAGGGGAGCATAAGGACTTGTCCTATCTCCTATATTAGGGGACTGCTAGACCTACTTGAAATTTTGACTGTCCACATTGGAGATTAAGTAAAAGGAGTTCACTGTTTCTTCTATTTCATCTTTCAAAATTCATATTCTTAAAGTGCCATAATACAAGCTAATCTATCTGTTACACTAACAGAGGGAACTCATAAGTAGTTTTGTCCAAACAGTTTTAAGGCAGTTTACACCACCTCATATTTGCATAGTCTAAGTCTTGCATCCAAAACTTGCATAGATTGATATATTTTAGTCTTAAATTTGCTTAAGCACAGACTTTGAACTCAGATGACATTGCTATCTGAACTTATTTGAGTACACTCACATAATTTTTGCTGACTTGTGGCACTTTGGAAGGCATAGTAATCTAATTAGGTTTACAGTGTCTGAATTTCAAAATCTAGAGGGTAGAAAGCTGAATCATTACCTGCCCTTCATGTGATCCCATGCCACTGTACTTTATCTCTTTGTGCTTGATTGGAATTATTCTTTCTCTCACACTATGTTAATCCACCAGTCTACTTGCTACTCTTCAGTTTTCGTGATGGCTCCATGATACTGAAGGATCAGATTCTGCTCTCACGTGTAACAAGTTACTTCCATTAATAACTGAGAAATTTTTGGGATATGAGAATAGCATGCTAGGTATTTGCTAAAGTTGATATTACATTAGTTAAACATCTAAGCAAAAAATGTTGAGCAGAAAAGTGTGATCCTGATGATCTGTCCTGCATTTACCTCTTTCATGGGTTCTGCCTTTCTTTTCTCATTTATAGATAATCTAAAACTTGTTTTTCCAGTTTCATGGCTACAATACAGGGGAGGATGTAATTCAGATATCAGGAACCAATCAATATCTCTTCCCATCCGACGGAGGACAGATTCAAGTAGAGAAGATAGAGTTTGTAAAAGGTGATTCTTTAATTCTTCATGCTTTGCTTTGACTCAGTGCTAACTGATGGCATAGTTTCTTAATCCATAAATGCTTTTTCATGTCTCAGTAGTAGAAATTCAGTTAAAGAAATTCCATATTAACGTCTATCACTATTAATCTTTATATTTTCCTGTAGTAGGTTAGCAGTTGATAGATAAAATTCCAGAAGAGTAGAAATGGAGAAAAATCAGTTCATATTTATCTGTTCAATGGCAACCAAGGCATGATAATTCAGGAATGTTCCAATTATTTTTCTAGTCAAATGCAATAAATCTAAAAAACAGATTCTTCTGAAGCCTCTAAGATCTAATTGTCAGGATTTTTGTAATATTTAGTCTAAACTGAGAAAACCTTAATTTTTGTCATCTTGGTCTTCTACTAAGTGATTTGGTCCAGTTCTGAGCAATTTTCTTTTTTGGTGTTCTTTAAAGTTGCAGCTAGAGGGTTTATTTGGGTGCAGGTAAGTTCTGAGGCCTGATGGGACCAATAATAGTATTCCATTGCTTTACAGGTCTAACTTTGGTAAAGGTGAAAGTGATAAAAGACAACCACAATTTCTTCATTCATATCACAGATCCTAAGAAAAACTTGGAAGAAGCTGAAGTGCAAGAAATTAATGAAGAAGAGAAAATTAGATCAGGTCAGTGAATTGACATCACCGATATAAAAAATTACTAGTTTGACATATTTAGTAATTTGATACAAAAATTATCAACTAACAGAAAATGGCAGAAAGTAAGAAAAATCAGCGTTCCATAAAAATCCAGTTGACTGACTTAAGTACTGTATAGAGAGACTTTAGCAAGATGTAGAAGCACAGTGAAGGTCAAGCAAGTGTGCAAACTAGTTTCTTCTCCAAAGCAAGGAAATCAATGAAGAGTCACCATTCTTTAAGAAAATAATTTTCTTCTTTAGTGGAGGACTCATTCAGATCTTAGGCCTGGGAAGGCAAACTGAATCCTGTTCATTGTGACCAAAGTAAATGTCTGCCCTAAAAAGGTCCCCTTTTGAACAGGACTTCCTTTTGTGGGTCAGATGACCATGACATTAGGGCCTCCTCAAGACCTTGCTGTGAAAACAGATCTTTCTGCAGTCCAGTAGCTTCCGCTATTGGTTGACATATTGCTAACACTCAGAAAGCATTGAATCCAAATCCTTTCTGAACCCAGGTGAGAGCTCCAAGAAGGAAGCCAGTCTGTAACAATTTGTGTGTATGTTTGCCAAAAGCATTATGGAATTGCTGTCACCCAACTGAAGAGTAGTAGAAAAATATAACTTTTCGTAGGCATATTACCTCTTCTAATCTTCATCAGTGTCAGAAAGCATCCTGCTCTTGCTCCTCCCCTTGGCTTCAGCTGCCACCAGCAATGTAGCAGTAGGTTGTCCGAATAGAAAATTTGCATCCGTTCCACAGATGAGGTGCTTTTTGCCTGCCCTTCTGAAAGTTGACCTGTATCATTCTGGGGTCTGACAAAGGGTATCGGTGATCACCACTCTGCAAGTAACTGAGGCAAGCTGTATTCACTTGTCATGAGTGAGAGAGGCTTTCCTCGTGTAAACAGGAGCACCTTATAGGAAGGCAGTGAGGAAGAGAAGAATCAGTGCAGTCTGATACTTGGCAGTGTCTGGATAGTACAACGTAAGCTTTCAAAACAGTCAAAATGCCAAAACTGCATCTGCAGGCGGTGTTCACCAATGAGCATTGCAATGACAGACAACAAATAGGAGCAGACAAGGTCTCAGGATGTTTGCCATGTTGATGGGATTGGGAGATGGCTAGGTGTTAGGTGCCTACCCTAACCTTCTTTTGTAGTATTCTCTGCTGCTCCTCACAGTTTTAAGAAGCTGTTCCCCATATGGGAAATCCCAAGGTTTTCTTCTTACCAACAGAACATTTCTTTAAGGCAGTAGGAGTTGAACTAGAGCAAGGTAGGGTCCAGTGTCTGGGAGATGTTCTTGCATAGTTTATGTGATTTTCATGAATAACATACTCATCGCATGACATCGTGGTCTGCACCTCTAAGTGAGCTTGTCTCCTGATCCACTTTTACAAATGCCAGATACATCTTTGGATCTAATTTCTCAACTCTTGTCCTTTCTTTTGCTTTATCCTCAAAGTACAGTCATAGAATCAGAATATCCTGAGTTTGAAGGGATCCACGTGGATCACTGAAGTCCAGGTCCTGTTCCTGTGACAATATGTGAGAGACAGTCACTTTTATTAGTTCATAGGTCACATGTGATAGAAATTAACAGTTTAGCATTCTTGTCAGTCAAGAAACAAGGATCCATAATTTTAAGTTCTTTCACTGCTTAAGTTCAGTATGACTTTTCACTGGTTGTTGCTTTTAAACTGTTTTCGTGCACCTAGCTAATTAGAATGCTATTCCTAGATTAAAAAACCCACAGATGTGTTGTACAAAAATTGCTATTATATACTACCCTATGAATGGAATGATAGTTTTCCCCGTCCTAATTAGTCTGTTTTACAGGTTAGTCATCCACATTAAGGTTTCACTGTTCACATCAGCCATTGGTTTGCAGGTCAGGTGGTTCTGGTGTGCATTACTATCTTTAATATTATTTTTTTTTATTAAAGGAAAAATAAAAAATCAAAAGAAAGCTGTGAGCAAGTTTGGATCTTTTTCAGCCACCTTGGAAAATGGAATCCAGCTGTCCCTAAGCTATTATGGACCTACAGGGAAGACAGCAGGTAAAGTAAGCAAATAGAAGACGATATTTGAGAACCATAGCGGGATTTTTTTTTCTTTTTTTTCCTCATGCACTCCTTAACGAAATAATTTGTTGTATGCAGTTCTGCCTTTCTGAGCGGCTGTTACTACGTGGTAGGGAATTTTCAGCAAGGCTCAAGATTACATTGTCAAGAATATTCTGTGATTCAATTTTCAAAATGGAAGGAGTTTTCCATGCATTTTTGCTTGCTGTGAAAACAGAGCAGTGCAGGGAGAAACTTGCAAGTATTGTTATTAAGTAGCCCAGCAAAATCAGCCAATTAATTTGAGCCAAAGAAAATGTGATTTGCTGAGGAGTCTTCTTGGTTTTCCAAGAAATAATATTTTTGTAAACTTATATAGGTGATTATGGAACTTTCATTTTACTTTAGGAGTTGGACTTTAAGTTACAGTTGTGCAACCATAATGAGGGATTTCTCTCAGCCTTTCAATAAACACATTCAGCAACTGGAAGCAATTGCTTCAGAAAACCGCAGTGAAAATAGCGTCTGCTTTTACCAAGAGCTTTTTGTTTCCATTGCATTTGAAAGGCCACTGAAACCATTATATGGGTAAAAGTGAAACCCTTCTCTGATCAGAAAAGAATCCCAGAAGTTTTCAGCTCTTAAAATATGAAAACATTTAATTGAATGCATCTTTGTGTGAACTGTGGCAAACCATTCAACTGTACACTCAGTTTTAATTATTTAAATATATTTTACAAATTAATTACTAAAAAAAGACATTTTAAACTTGGGCCAAGAGAACATTCACAATGTAGTGGACCGCAAAACTTGGATTTTGACATAAAAGAGAGACATGTCTAATTAAACACCTACATGTCAGGTGTGATGTTTAGGCTTTTTCGTATCTGCCATAATCATCCTATTCTACATTAGAATAATCCTTGCCATGTTGAGCTTTAGAGCACTGATAACTGACATTCTTTGATTGTTTGGAGTTTTTCTATGATCACTTGCTTATGCCAAATTCCCCTGGGTCTTTGTATCGTAAGTGCTGAGAATAATACTGACCAGAAATGTTCTGTCTTAGATAATTCTCACGTGCCATCCGTCACTAATGCCGAATGGTATACCATGAATTCTGTAGTTTCTCTCCACTGGTTGGTTGAATTGGGTGGAAACTACTCTTTTTCCCTGCAGTACTGAAATAGTTTTCTGGAACCTCTTTAACTCTCACTTTTCTTACTTTTTTTTACTTTTTATGTGTTTTATCTTCCTCTTAGGGAACCTAAGGTGACAAAAGGCCTCAAGCTGTTTTACCAACTTTTTGCATCTTTTTTATTTCTTAGTTAAATTCATTTCTTTAAGTTCTGAATTATTCTTTGTTTTCTCCAGCATTACGAAAATTTAGCTTCAGACCACCTTACATTTCAGTTAGAAATAAGGCCCTCATCTCTTTGACAATCTGGTGCCACTTGAGCACTTGCAGGGCTTTCAATTCGGGGTACTGTAGAACCTCTGCACTTGTTCTTTGTGCCTCGACAAAATTAAAAGAGCACTATTCCAAGTGCTAGAAATCTGAATGTGCGTGCAAAAGGAAGGAAACCTTCCTTAGTCAGACAGGCCTCTGGAATTTACCATCTCTCTCAAGTTTTCTAAAGACACTTTCAGTCTTGATAATCCACTTTTTTTCACTGTTACCCTCAGATACCATGTTCTCATTTTTCAGGGCAACCAGAGTAAAGAAGTAGGTGAAATTTCTTAAGAGATCAAGAGCCTGTAACAGCCTCTGTTCCTAAATTTAACACTCTGGGAAGTAGTGTTATCTGAAAGCGAACATGAAGGCTGGTTAAAGAAAAGTGTCAGTTAGTTGAAACAAAAATGTTTTACTGAAAATCTAACTTTATATTAATTTTATTTTCAAGAAACTATTTTGAAAGGCAACGTGATTACTTCTTGTTAATGTGGTTAGCAGGCTGTTCTAATGCTTGGCCTTTAAGAATTGCAAGAGTCTTACTAAGTCTAGATCATCAGAATCTTTCTGAATAATTATAGCAAAATCGATGTATGTAGTGCAAGGTTGCTGGAGTCGGTCAGTGCTGGATCAGCCCATGATAAAGCATAACAACAACCATCAGTTACTAGATACTAGACTCAGAATGTTTCCATCTAAGTATTCTGGATGTAAAAGGGTATTTTTAAACTTGTATTTTTTTATTTTTGAGGTGATGACCAAGTGACAACTTGTGAGAAACAATAGTTTCAAGATGTCTTTTAGGCTAATAAATTGTCAGTCAGTGGAAAGATTTTCTAAACAGTTTTATATATTCAGTCTCTCTATCTGAAATAATAAACTCCCCCACTGAGGTTATTATTTCTAAGGTAAAATTTAGTGTACAAAATCTTTTTAAAAATAAAATGTGGCCATCTACATTTATGAAACTTAATTGCATTAAAAAAATTGCTTTTCCCTTCCTTAGATGATGAAAACGGTGATATCTTAGCAAGAATTCTGGACATCCCTTCTGTTCATATTCCGACCATAATTCCGACAGAAGTGGCTCCCATTACACCAGCTTTGGGAAAAAAAGATAAGTCCGACAAACAAAAGTCAGGAAAATCTCAGCCTTCTACAAAAGCAAACCGTAGCAAAATAGACCCTTCATCGTCTGATGACCTGGTACAGCAAGAAGAAGTAAAGGTGAGAGAATTATCCAATGAAAAGAAACAAACAAAAATTCAAATACATGACCTTATGTAAAAGAAGCATATATTCTTCTCAGAGGGCTTTGAGCCTGTGCCGTTACAAATTCCTAACAGTTTGTGGTGCTTCTAAGGATATCTTTTACTCTTTCAATTGTTCTCAGATGGTACATATTGGCAGCTGTTAATGAAGCTAGCCTCTATGACTGCATGGTGTGAAGCAGTCTGTCTTCCATGGTCCACGTACTTTTGTCAATTTTGGCTTTACAGTTACAGCTCTTACACTGCAGATGATCAGAAGACCTCTCCTGCAAAGACAGATTGAGAGAGCTGGTGAGGCACTGGAACAGGTTGCCTAGAGAAGTTGTTGATGCCCCATCCCTGGAAATGTTCAAGGCGAGGTCGGATGGGGCTTTGAGCAACCTGGTCTAGTGAAAGGTGTCCCTGTCCATGGCAGGGAGGTTGGAATGTGATGGTCTTTAAGGTCCTTTCCACCCAAACCATTCAATGGTTATTAATATCTCACTCACAAGAACTGCTGAATTTTTAGTTTAAACAAGCAGAATTTTTCTGTGCTTTCCAAAACCTGTGTTGGAAAGTCTAACCAAACGGTAAATTAGTGGAGACAGTTTTTCAAAACCTTGCTCTGTAATTTGGTCTTAGCAGCCAATAACAAGCCAGGGACCAGCAATTTGAGGAAGTTACTTTTACCTGTAAGTGAAGTACTTCTGTCACAGTGCAGGTTTTGGAAAGGATGAATGACATTTTAAAAGCAGATTCTGAATTTCTGTTGTGAAATAGTATCTAATATCTAGTGGATGAAGTAATGCTGTGCCTCTTGTTTCAACATGGATTCTGTGCATATCCACAAAAAGTGCTTCTTACCTAATTTCAAAAGTCTAGCTAGTTATTTAAAGAGCATGAGCATGGGAAGTGATATAAGGAGTTGCCAGCACTCAGTATAACATACAGTAATTGTGTGGCAGAAATGAAACCTATAGAAACAAATAGTCCTATCGTTAAAAATCGGTCAGGAAGACTTCTAAGCCAAAAGGCTTTTACCGGTTTGGTTTAGAATTACTTTGGATAAAGAGTTCCCATATTAGTGCGTACAGCACCTGTCTGTGAGTCTGCAAGTATTTTGGAGAACAGGATTAGAATCCAAAACGGACTTGATAAATTCACATGGACACAGTCTGTAAAATGGAATGCAATTCAATAAGAATCAAAGTGGTAGGTTCTACAATTACATATAAATAATGAACATGTATCTACAGAATGGATAACAGTTCTGTCAGTTTGTAGTGGGTTAACCCTGGCCAGATACCAGGTACCCACTAAAGCCACTCTCTCACTCTCCCTCTGCAACTGAACAGAGGACAGAAAAAAAAAGAAAAACCAGCTAAGGATTCATGAGTTGAGATTACAGCTGGGAGAGGTCAGTTACTGATTACCTTCATGGGCAAAACAGACTCAAAGTGGGGATATTATTTAAATTTGTTACTAACAAGATAAGAGCCAAAGAGTGAAAAATAAAACAATCTTAAAAACACCTTCCCTCCACCCCTCCTTCCTTCCATGTTCTCCCTCCTCTCCCCCAGCAGTGCAGGTGGACGGGAAATGGGGGTTACAGTCAGCTGTTGTTTCTGCCACTGCTCAAAGAGAGGAGTCCTTCCCGTGCTCCTGTGGGGTCCCTCCCATGGGAGACAGTCCTTGATGCACCTCTCCGGTGAGTCCATCCCATGGGCAATAGTTCTTCCCAAACTGCTGTCCCGTGGGTCACTTCTCCATGGGTGCAGTCCTTCACAGATGAGCTGTACCAGTGTGGGTCCCCCACAGGGCCACAAGTCCTACCCAGGAAAAACCTGCTCCAGCGTGGGCTTCCCTCTCCATGGGCTGCAGGTCTCCAGCAGGACCCTGCTCCATCTTGGGCCTCCCATGGGGTCACAGCCTCCTTCATGCATCCACCTGCTCCAGCATGGGCTCCTCCAGGGGCTGCAGGTGGGTCTCTGCACCCCGATGGTCCTCCATGGGCTGCACAGCTGCCCCACCATGGTCTGCACCACGGGCTGCAGGGGCCTCAGCTCCCGTGCCTGGAGCACCTCCTCCCCCTCCTTCTGCACTGACCTTGGTGTCTACATTGTTGTTACCATGTTCTCACTCCGCTCTTCCCTGGCTGGAATTCTTTCTGCGCCACAACCTTCTGTTCTTAAATATGTTATCACGGAGGCATTAGTATCACTCCTGATTGGCTTGGCCTTGGCCAGCAGCAGGAATTCCATCCTGGAGCTAGCTGGCATTGGCTCCACTGGACAGGGAAGCTTCTAGCAGCTTCTGACAGAAGCCTCCCCTGTACCCCCCGCCCCCGCTACTAAAACCCAGTCACAGAAACCCACTGCACAGTTCTATAGCGAAAGGTCTGAGAGTTGCCATGGATCACAGGCTATGCATAAGTCAACAATGCCATCTTCCTGTGAGAAAGGCAAAGACCACATTGAGGTGAATAAAGGGGAGTATAGCCTGCTAAATATATGAAGTTATTTTCCACTCAGGTGTGGTAGGGTCTCAGTTGACATATTGCAGTTACGGATACTACACTGCAAGAAAAATATGGGCCACACTGAGAGTTTTAAGGAAAGCATGAGGATTAGAGGTCTAGAAAACTTGACTGGTGGGAAAAGTTTAAAAGACTTGGTTTGGGTTTGTTTGTTCTAGAGTTGAGAGACAGAATAGCCTTCTTCTGTAAAGAGCTAAAAGGACACCATCATCTCTTATAAGCTAGCCCATATAATCAGCAGAAATAATCAGAAGTAAACTAGTTTTCTCTAATATTTATTCAAGTTAACCAGGACAAAAATGTCAGTAAGGTTAATCAAGGTAAAGTACTGGAACAGTTTACCAGGAAACCTCCAACCCTGGAAATTTTTTAAATAGGTTACATTAGAAGTTCTCTGGGTTTTTTACCATTAAAACAAGGAGAAGTAGATGACAACTGACTGTTACTTGTGTCCTGTTCTGTGACTTCTACCTCATGATCCTGTGACTACAATCTTAGGGTATCGAGAGTAGGCTTTATTACCCAGTAATATTATGTAAAGTAATCACAAATGTATGGCATTCTTTATGCTGAAAAACACGTGGAAAAATATCTGCCTTTTCCCCCCTATAGTTATATTCCTAAAAAGCAAGTATATGGGGTAATACCAGGACAAATTCTCTCTGTTACCTCTGTCTACAATCCAAAACTGTTTTCATCTTATGACTGCTGGCATAGTGTAGTCCATTGTCACATAGGTTTTTGAGGGGATGACATTTAAGAATCTGTTGTTGTATTTTTTCACAAATGTTCCAGGGCCTTCAGACATTCCTTAGGTCAACCTCATCTTTTCTAGTCATCAGAAGAGTTTCCACTGCAGAGCAGTGCAAAGAGAATTACACATTTTGACTGTCAAACCTTCCTTCCTGTCCCCTTCTTGAGTCAGTGCTGTATTTGCAGCAGATTGGAAATACAGCTCTGCTAACCTTTTGTGCCCTTTTAATGATTATGGGTAAAATAGGTGATATGCAACTTCAGTAATTATTTCACACTCTTCTGCTTCACATTATCTGTTTATTGTCATCCCATCTTGATGCTATGCATAAGATAGCAAAATGACTCAGTAAAATGAATAAACTTAGGAAGAGTTGTTCTTCAAGGTGAATGAAAGAAGAGAGCATAATCAAATACAATAACCTAATGTTTCCACTTCAGAGTCTAAAACCACTCAAAATGTTAAATAAGTGGTAGACAGCACATTTTTTAAACAATATATTGTTACAACTGAAATCTGTGGTCTAATTTTTTTCTTTACTCTTTTAAAATGTGGAATAAAACTAATTCATGTTTCATTCTGTAGATGGAAATGGAAGAACCAGCTCCCCAAATACAAGAGATATCAGATGTTCTTGCTTTTCCGAGTTTGAATGTCTCCTGTCCCAATGGACTTGTATTAAGTTTCCTTGGTGAAAGCTTTGAAGGTTAGTTTCTGAGCCACTGCAAAGTAAGGAATTTAAAAGAAGTTAAAACTATTTATTTCTTCATTAGCGGATTTAGATGTAACTGTGATTTTTTTAACATGCTAGGTCTGTCATAATGTCTGTTTTAATAGTATTTGCAACATAAATAGTGTGAGGTTTTTTCAAACAAATATAAAATCTAGCATCACAAGTTGTTGGACATAAAAGATTAAGGGCAGGGAAGCAGTAACCCTAAAATGCCCTTGCGAGTCATGTTGGATAATCAGTTGAATATGCATGTAGAATAGAATACTAAAGAAAAATTATCTAATGCAGTTAATAAATGCATATATATTGAGGAATCTTGAGTAATAACAGGAAGATAGTTGCATTATCTGTATCTGCACCTCCTTTGGAAGTGTATGTACTTAAGTTCAGAAGACAAAATTTTAATATTTTGGGGAAGAGTGACAAGAATGATTAAAGCATCAGAAGATGTATCTTATAGTGAGCTCATTTCACCAGAGAACTCAATTTAGTGACCAAAGAAAAGGTCAAAGGGGTAACTGGTGCCAGCCTGGAAGTACAAGGAAAGAGAATTTTGGTGATAGCTTGTAAACACAGCATATAAAAGTATTACAGTTTTCAGGGGCTTGAAACTGAAAAGTAGTACTTTATACTAGATTTAAGATATACTCATTTATTAATGGTAAGAATGATTAACAAAACTAACCCAGGGTATGATTGACTCTCTGCTACTGGATATTTTACAATCAGGTTTTTTGTTGCCTTTCTAAAAGATACAATCAGTTTCAAACAGGAATTATTTCACAGAAGTCCTTTGATTTAGGCCATCCAGCACATAGACAGGAGACACTCATAATAAGTCTTTCTGCCCTTACTGAATTTCCTTTAGCAGACTGATGTGGTATATAAATACTTAGAGGTTTCTGTGCCTAACATGTCCTTCTGCAATACTTCTGTTTTCTACCGTTTTTGAAAATCAGCATGAGGTTAATTTTTGCATGCTGTAAACTCTAGTAAATCTTGGGGGGTTTCAGTCATGCCATTAGGTTTTGAAGCAGATAAATGTGATTTTTTTTTGTCATCTAGTCAGTTTTAAATACAGCCACATACAGATGTGATTTAATACCTCTGTACAAAAAAATTGTACAATCCAGAAAATGTGCTCTGACTAATCTGGTATGAAGTAAAGAACATATAGAGCGTTTTCAAATATACATAGTTTGGCAAGGAGCATAAGATGAAATGCTGAATAATTGAGGTGAACAGAGGAATTACAAACACATACATGTAGTCTCTTGACACAATTACCATAATTATACCTATTGGTATATTCAACACTGCCACAATTTAAGCTAAAAAACTAACTTGTTCAAGTAGACAAAATATATAACTTAGGTTTCTATACAAATTCAAACTTGGTGAAACTCAGTAACTTTTTTTCACCTTTATGGCAGTTAGGAAATTCCTCTCACCTAATGTGAGTCTTCCAAAAGTTCAGCACCCATAATAAATCCATCTTCATATTTCCCTTGTTTTCATTTGGAAAGACAGCCACCTTCACAGGAGGATGCAGAATTTCTGAGTAGGTGACTGTTTTGAATTTTTCTCTGAATTTGGAGTCTGTCTCTTACTCTGTGGATGACCAAGTAAGCCAAGGAGGGTTAGTCTTACTCGCCTGGAATTGCATACCTTCTGTAGACACCATGATGCTGGCTGTTTAGCCCTGTTTGAATGTGTGCTATGCAGTATTAAGTAATGCAAAGTTTGTTTTCAGATTTGAAAGATGAAGCCACTACCACTGAAGAGAAAGAGGTGGTAAAGGAAAGTGAGGCCAAAGCAGATGAAGCAAAGGAGGAAGAGGTTGAGGAAAATGAGGCCAAAGCAGATGAAGCAAAGGAGGAAGAGGTTAAGGAAAGTGAGGCCAAAGCAGATGAAGCAAAGGAGGAAGAGGTTATGGAAAGTGGAGAGAAGGAGCATGAGGTTTCAGAAGGTGAAATAGAGCACAAAGACACTGAAAGAAAAAAGGCCAAGCAGCCTACTCTGGAAATTCTGGTTAGACAGAGTTATCCCCAAAAGGTAAAGAACTCCCAGCTTTATACACCTGTGGCAAGGCAAACAGAACAAGAGGTGTCAAGAGTCATCACTAGGCAAGGAACTGTCATGAAGTACCTGATGGATGGATCTACCCAGGTATATTTAGTAGAATTCATTGTAAGCAGCTTGTGTGTGTGATTACTCTTAAATGTGTGCTCATCTACTGAAATAGAGAAGTGTCCAGTTTTTAGATGAAGGAATGAAGTAACTACTGAGTTATGCAGCCACATCAAGACTAAAATGCTCTTTGCTTTGGTCAGTATCAGAACTTAAGGCACATAGGGAGGTTTAAATATGAAAATTTTAGGCATATGAAGATTTTAGGCAACTTTGGAATTAGGAAATTGCTGAATAGGGTTTTGAGAACTATATTCCTGGACTTAAGCATCCAAAGTGTGGATTAGTTTGGGGTTTTTGGCAATATGAAAATATCCATGTAGTTTTTCAGTTTAAACAGTCATGTGGGATCCAGAAAAGACCTGAACTGTTCTTCAGTCCTGCAGACACCTTTAGGTATCCTAAATTTTCAGGAAAAAAAGACTTTATGTTTCTATATATCGAAGTACCTGCTTTGTTTACATATATTTAGGTTGCCTAGAATTCTGGTACATTTTAGGTGTTATAGGCTAGATACCATCTTTGCAAATACTGTAATTAATCTACAAGCCACTTTTTTTTCAAAGTCTAAGACACTACACGTAGTTAGCAAACAGATGAAAAGAAGAGTCATCTATTTTGATTCAGAAAGTATCAAAATAATTCCTGATTTCTTGGATTTTTTTTCTGTCTAAGTAGACCTGTGGTGGTTTGAGACCCCGAAATCCAATTCCCGAGTCCAAACCCCCCTCCCACATCTCACCCCAGTGTGAAATGGGTTTTCCAGACACAACACAAGACTCAATATGGGGGGAAGGAAATTATATTACAATCACAAATATTATAATACATCATATACATAATCTTAACTATCTCTCCTATGATAAATCAGTATTTACATTGGATCAAATCTCTTCTCCCTCCAATAAAAGTCCAGGAGGGAAGAAGGAAAGATCCTTTCCACCTTCAGGGCAGCAGTCTCTCCTCCTCAATGCAGCAGTTGTAGTTGGATCTCTTTCCAATACACACAAGGGGGTCTCCTCTCACCCCTCTCAGCCCTTCGACTCCAAGTGAAGGTTTCTCTTCCATGGACCGCGGTTGCAGGGACAGGCTCGCTTCACCACGTCATATCGCGAAGTACAGGGGTCTTCGTGGCGGTCCCTTTCCTCAGGGGGTTTACCTCTGAGTCTGAACGTCTCAGGCAGCTTTCAGTTGAAAGCCTTTGCCTCAAGAGTTCTACCAGAGCTCCTGTACTCTGTCTCAGGCTGCCAGCTTGGCAGCAGCAGCGGGGGGGGGCAGGCTACTTCCCCCACATTCCATCTGGCTGTCCCGGTCCAGCTTCCAGGACGTCTTGAGCTTCTCAGCTCCTCTCTCCGGTACTGCTGCATTCCAAGTCTCCCCTCAAGTGGGAGTCCACCACCCCTCCTCTCTAGGAGGTGTCTCAAAAGGGGTTTTGGGGGTTTTTGGTTCAGTTCTTACCCCAAAACTCTGTCTGTAGAGCTTAGTTCTCTCTCTCTCCATTAGACATCTCTGTGTCTTCTTGCTCGGCTGCATGCTGGCTTTGCTGCTTATTCTTATCTCTTGGCTTTCTACCACAGCCTCTGTTCACTGCTGTCTCTGCTGCCGTTCCTGCTGCCCACTCGCAGTGGAGAAAGACTCCCAGCTTCTCAGTTACAGACCTCGGTCCAGTTTAACACTGTTTCTGAGTTTCTATGAGCCCAGCCGGGGGCTGGGGGGCCGTGGCCCCCCAACGGGACTCCTGCCCCTTCTCCTCGTGGCTTCAGAACATGGCCACTCTCCTCTTCAACTACCTCATCATCCTTCTTTTCCAGTTTGGTGTGATATGTTTTAATTTTGCAGGAGCGCTGATTGGGTCAACACCAAGAGAGACACCACCCCCTCAGGGGTTACCATTTTTTTTTAACTCCAGGGGGAAAAGACACTTTTTTTTCTCCCCACCACAAGACCACAACTCCCAAGTATAAGTTATTTACCATTTGTTCCATTTGTTACCATTTGTTGCCATTACATTATATGCTAAATCATTCAGCCAGGATTTCTGAGAAACATAACCATTTCAGAAGTATGCAAAGAAGCTAGCTCCTGTATGTCTATATATTCTCAACATACTGTCTCCTGATAGAAAAATGTAGATCTTATGTGCCTAGCATGATTTTAGAGTAGTCTCTGTATAAACAGATTATGAGTACTTCCTTCTTAATATTAACTTAATGTCTGTGAGTCATCAAGAATATATTATTTATAATAAGCATTGAAAAAAGGAGTGGTTAATTCCTTCCAGTAATAATCTCAAGAGTTGTTTCTATATGTTGTCCATTTATTTTCTACATTGTACTATATTTATAAATTAATTCAGGGATGGTTAGGGTGGCTTTATCTGACACACAGAGAACATGCATGTCAAGGGTTGAGTGTAACGGACAGTATGTCTCAGAAAACAGCTATAAGTAGATAAATAACCAAGACTTCCTTTTGTTAGCTATCTTGATGGCTAAAAAATTAACATTAGTCCTAGGCATGTGGAATACCTTAGTGCAGATCAGTATGTCAATACAGATGCATTATCACTGCTACCAAAAAAAAAGTCATTAACCTTTGACTATTTAGTCAAAGAATAATCTTTACTGTTTATTTTTACACCTGTTTGTTGCTAAATAGAGTCTAAATTAATTGCATATGTGAACTGCAGCAATTAGCACTCCTTTGGGCAATGACTAATGTGATGGAATTTAACAAGTCCAAATTTTGGACCCTACAAGTGGGACAAGTAACACCAGGCACAGGTATAAATGAGGAGAGGAGTGGCTGGAGAGTGCCCCGCAGAGCAGGCCCTGGGGATGTTGGTGGGCAGCAGCTCAGTGTGAGTCAGCAGTGTGTGCCCAGGCAGCCCAGAGGGCAAACCACGTCCTGGGGAGCATCAAACACGGCATCATGAGCCAGTGAGAGGGAGAGGAACATCCCATTGTGCTCAGCATTGGTGTGGCCTCACATGGAGTGCTGGGTGCAGTTCTGAGACCCAGAGGGGTGTGAAGGTCCTTGAATGCTCCCAGAGGAGCGCAACAAAGCTGGTGGAAGGGCTGGCAGGTGTGTCCTGTGAGGAGCAGCTGATGGCTCTGGGCTTGTCTGCTTTGGAGAGACCAAAGCTGAGGATCAACCTTGTCGCTCTCTGCAGCTCCCTGACAGGGTAAGTGGAGAGGGAGGTGATGATCCTTTCTCCCTGGGATCTGTTGATAGGACATATGGCAATGGCTCAAAGCTGCTCCAGGGAAGGTTTGAACTGGGCATTAGGAAGCATTTCTTTACCCAAGAGGGGGTCAGACAGTGGAACAGGCTTCCTAGAGGGGAGGTGAATGTCACAAGCCTGTCAGTGTTTAAGAGGCATTTGGTCAGTGCCCTTAACAACATGCTTTAACTTGGTCAACCCTGAAGGGGTCAGGCAGCTGGACTGGATGATCATTTAAGGTCCCTTCCAACTGAAAAAGTCTATTTTATTCATGCTTTTTAAGATAGCTGCTTTATTTCTTGTATTCATTCTGAGAGCTTTCACTTTTTTGCCCTCCATCACCCACAGCATTCTAGTGATTATTGCATTTGTGACACATTCTTTAAGATTTTCTAGCGATGTTTGAATTGATTTTAACCTTTAGTATGTCCTTGATTTCTGTAGATTCTGTTTGCTGATGGCACAGTGAGTAGGAGCCCCGACTCTGGTCCTGTCCTACCACCATCTACAATTCCAGATAACATACAACCATTACCAGAATCAGAGCTTTTACATGAGACCAGGATTAAGAAAGGTAATATTTTTTGGGTTTTGGATAGATGTAAGTTAGCAGGGCTGATGATAGTTAAAGGGCATATTTCTTTAGTCTGAAAATTCTGCCAGTATGAAAATGCAATTTTATCTGTACTCAGCTTCTGCACACTGTTATGTTACCTTCATAGCAAATCATTTCTATCTAATTCCAGATTTCTTTTTCTTCCATCGTGCTAGGACTCTAATAAGTAAATACACTCTGATACATTGGTATCAGTGATTGAACACGAAATCTTTTAAGAGAAATCCTTGTAACTACAATAGTGTTAAAACCTTACTTTTGTCTTACACAATTTTTAGTCTTTATATTAAGTAATGCTTCACTCACAGAGGATACTGTATTTTTCCTGTGCAGGGCTGAGTTGGACTCGATGATCCTTGTGGGTGCCTTTCAACTTGGCATATTCTGTGATTCTGTGTATTCCAAGGCACCTACGATTGGTCATTATCAACTGGTTGTATGGACTTGTGGTTGGTGGCAATATAGCCACTCTTACCTTATTTTCTTTGACTGAGAAAGAGCCAAATAAATGTTTACTTCGTACCTCAGAGTGTAGTTTGAGATATCCGTCAGTGCTGCTTAGTACACAGAACAATTATGACCTGTCATATTAACTTGTAATTTATTGAAAGTTTCTGAATAAAAATTGCTGCCAAAAAGAAAAGGGTCTCAAAAAGAGACTTTTTGAGTCAAGTCCAGTCCTTGTTCTTAGGATATTCCTTAGGGTAACTGCAAAGATGTTTGAGAACAACTCTGACAAACCATCTTCTAATATGCATTCTCAGTATGTGGAATGAGTGTATATCCTTTCTTCCTTATCCTTTATTTATCACTTTTCCACCTTCCCCACCTTTCCTCTCCACTTCTTATTCACTACAAATTTGTAGTGAATAGTTTAATGTCTTTTTGTATTTTGGGTGGGTTTTTTGCTAGATATATACTGTAAATCTTCTAGACTGCTCTCTGAACTATGCTGTTGTCTTTTACCTACACTTAGTTTAAACTTCTTTTCCTGCATATGAGAGACCTGAATTCTCTATAACATTCTTAATAAGATCTCTCCAATTCCCTTTCATAATGGAATTTCCATCCCTTTTCTTCTGATGCACCATAGAATTGTGTTGGCCTTTTTGGTCACTATATTTTCACGCTGATAACTTGTAATCATTCTGCATGGATGATGCCTCCAGGTCTTTCTTTTCTTCTACTGTTACAAGCTTAGCTGAAACAGAAATAATTTTTATTATTCTTCACATTAGATTTCATTCTAATAAGCTATATCAAATTCCTATCACTTTAATCTTCAAGCTCATGGGACAATTTTGGCTCCCTTTTTTTTCTGTAATTCATACAGATTTTCTTTTGCATTGATAGTGCCTTCCAAAGTCTTGTCATAATCAGATTTCATTGGCATGCTTTTTACTTTTTCTATGTTCTTAAGGAAACATTAAATAAGGTTAGTTCAGGAGCGTGCCTCTAAGTAACAGGAGTTGTAATTTTTTTCTAGCCTGTTAAATAGTTCTTCTTTCAATTCTGTCAAAACCAGTCCTCACAATGATTTTATCTTTTGCCTTAGAGAATACCAAGTCTGATACAAAAATTTTTTATTTCTGCAGGAAAACACAGTGGCAAAAACATGTCACACCCAACCAAGGATGAGTTGTTTGAAAATACTGTTCAGGATCTGGTTAATTCTGAGGAACCTAAGGCAGGAACCTGGATAACAACAACTCCATTAGGCATTCAAGTGGGCACTGAGGGTGGAAAGAGAATGGATCTGAAGCCACTCTTCATGTATCAGGCAACAGACCCAGCTGATGAGACGGTATAACTGCTTTTGTGTTATTATAGCACTGTCTACTAAGCCAAGACACAGGGCTGCCATCATATAAGTTGTACGATTTGAAAACAAATTATTATTTGTTATATTTATTACTCTGTTACAAAGGCAAAGTTATAGATTTTGAAGAAAATGTGATTCCTCAGTCTCTGAAACAGATGAAGTTGCAGTAGTCTAGCTTCTTCAGAGTTTCAGTGCCTGATGCTTTTTATTGTTGTTGCTGTTACAAGTATCACAGTGCTAATATAAATGAATGTTTCTTCATTCTTTCAGGTTATGACTGTACGAGATGATGAAGTGATAATTGTTGAGAAGCTGGATGGTAGCAAAGTAGTAGATCATGCTGATGGTACCAGGATCACAACTTTTTATAAAAAATGTGAATGCCGTTTTGTACCAGATGGTGGTGAGGAAACAGGTAAAATCAAATGGGGAGCACTTACCTCTGCTGTATCTTGTGAAGCAGAAAATTGTCAAAATACATACTAAAGGCAGCTTATACCTTATACCTATAGCCTAGATAACACGCCCACTAGTACAGTCCAGGCTTAGTTTGTCTCCTATTCAGTGCAAAAATTGTACTGTTGCAAGCAAGCAAATCTTCTTTTCATATATATAATTACATGGTCCTCCTTTATCATGAGACCACAGTTCTAGTTGTCCATTGCCCTCTCTCCATCTGCCCTAATATTAGCAAGCAAGATGATTTGAGTCTTAACTGAAGAAGTATATATAACGACCAGGGCATCCTTATATTTTCCATGGAAGCCATGGACTCACCAGCCTTGGAGATACTGAATATCTGAATATGGCTGTGGAAAATGCCATGCCTAGAAAAGTAAAACTTATATTTCCTTGAAATAAGTGGGACTAATGGTCATCTGTGTTTATTCTGGCTGGTGTTGTATTCCATATGCTTTGTTCACTTGCTAGACAAGTCCTGTCCTCCTTAATTAACATGAAGTGTACTTTTACTGTGTAGGCGTCTGCACTGTTCAAACACAGTGGGAAGTTCTGGTTCTGTGGGAAAAGAGTGTTATTGAGTTAACAGATAATGTTCAGGAACATTGTCTCCCTGTGGGATTTTAAAAATCAAAACAACTTTGAACTGATCTGTCTCTTCAATGGGAAGGCAATGACCAGATTAACATACCTGTTTGATTTGTTTTCCAAGATTTAATAGGAATTTCTTCACGTCTTTGAGCTTGCATTACAGGCACAAAGAATTTCAGTGATCCAACTTTTATGTTACAAATGTCCAGATCATTATGATTAGTAGCATACTTGATACTTTAGAGTGTACTTTTCTGGCCAGTCACAGATGGCTACAAAAATTTTTTGCTGTTGAATTTTCCTGTATTGAGTGCACTGTCCAGAATTGTGTTGCGTGTTGTTTGCATAAATTATGTAAAATTTATAAAATCACATAAAATTATGTGATAAAGGATGCCATGAAGTTTATGAGAGTCTTGTACTGAGGAGATAAGGATCTAGCACTATGAGAGAAAAAGCAAATTGAATCTTAAGACATTTCCGTGATTCATGTGCTCCTGTATCATTGTTCTGTATTAATTCTTAGATGAACCCTCAAAAACCACCCCAAAGAAGGTGAAGTGTGTGCGAGTAGAGAATCCTGAGTTTGCTACTGTTATAACAAATTGTGAGGATGGTACCTGTTGTACCATCTTTGGAGATGGGACATCTATTCTAGCAAAGCCACGGGGAACATATCAGGTGGGAATTATTTTTAGTTTGTGACAGTGAAATTTTAGTTTTGTGTTCCAAGTTCTCTGCCATTAGCAGCTCTCACCTTGACTATTTTAACTCCCTTCTTTATAGACTTCACAAATCCTATGACTCTATCCCCTTCATCCTCTGCCAATATTTAAATATTTACTCACAACTGTGTAGTATATTTAAATCACAGTCTTAAATTTCCTGAAGTTAAATATTACAGAGACTAAGGTCAGTCTACCTCCCAGACCTCATCTTTCTTTCTGTCCCTTTAGTTCCTCTCAATTGGATGATTCAGTATTAAAGGTCTGAAAGCTCTCCTCTTGATTTGTGTCTATTATTCATTTTCATGGTACCTCTAAACTAAAGTTTTCATCTTTCAGCTGAACCTCTTCCTTTTTGCTGTCATAGGTTTTACCCATCAAGACAGGCTCTCTTTTCATTGATGAAGATTGCTCAGCAATTTATACCCATGAAGTTTATGATTTCGTCAGCAAGAACGAGGAGAAACAAGCAGGGAGATACATTATGAAACACACTTCTAGTACTATTTGTGAGATGGTGGATCCTGAAGGAAATACTTTCAAGGTAAAATACATGGAAAAAAACAAATTTCTGCATTTTAACTAATTTTGTCTTATAAACTTCTCTCAAAATCAGATTGTATCTTTGTAATATTTAAAGTAGCCTAGCTAGCAAGAAGGGAAAACCTCTTGAATCAGGTCTCTGATATGTTCTCGACTAAATGATGGATTTGCTTTATTTGATATTTCCCCCTTTTTGGAGAGACTGAAATAAAACGTGTGGTCTACAGTTTACCTCACTTGTAGTTACCTTAATTAGCGTGACTTGTATTATATCAAAAAATCAGCTCTGCAAGTGAGGATTAAAAATGAGAGAGGATATTTGCTCTTCAGAAGGTCTATAGAAACACTCTAACCAGCCTTGGTAAAGCAACTGTAGTTAAAAGGAATGATCCAGTCTTTAAAGTCATGCTATTTTGCTGTGATCCTTTCACACTAAAGGCATATTTTTGCACTACGTTAGTACTTAGTTGTGAGTTCTGGAAACATCATGTGTCTGTGAGCTGCATACTGTTTTCTAATTAAGATTCTAATGAAATATTCTAAATGTGACATCCTTATAGTATCTTTTCTGTGTTGTAACTGTAATCATTACCATTTTCCCAGATTCCTGTGAAACAACACTAAGGTTCCTCTGGACATGTGCATTAGAATAGGTTTTAACTTGGCTGAAGAAACACTGCTTATAGAAATCTATGTCATGTGTCAATCTCTCCCTTACAAATTTTTAACTAATAAACTAGAAGGATAGAAATTTCAAAGATACCAATTCCTAGAAAATCATTACAGTTCAAAGAAATTGCTTGGCATTGGCATCAGCACATCCTGCTTTTTCTCAACTGATACTTAGAGAACAAAAGAGGGAGGCTGAGGAGGCTGTGGGACAGCTGAAGGTATTTTAGGAGCAGTGATCTCAGAGGATATGGGTTCTAGTAAGAAAGATGAGATTAATTCAATATGAGAAGATGCATACATGAAGAACAACTGTAGCAAAAACAGTTTGCATTGGTTTTCCATTAGTAGAATGTCTTATTTACTTCGTCCCACTGTTTTAATTTCAAGACCTCATTTGCACTGGATAAGTTTTTATGTGATGTTGTAACAACTCACAAATCTAAGCTTCTCATTGTGTACATATATAATAGGACGTCCTGCCTGCTTTTATGTATTTGCATCTCTGTGTGTGTGTTGGTGTATATGCATAGATACACGTATACCTCACAGGGAGGGGTACATCAGTGGCTGTCTTGACTATACAGTTACTTGGCTTGACCAGTGTCTTGAGTGACTATTTTTGTGTAACAGTCCTTGGGCATTTATTAATTATCAGCATGTGGTATTAGTATTTATGATACAGCATGTCTTTCTAGAAATGTTTTGCTTTTTTCACTGTCTTTTCAGTTTTCCTCTTCATTTCTTCTTCCTATGTGTTTCAGGTTGCTCAACATGAAATAAGTTTTTTCCGTCCCTTTCACTGGCTAGATCATATTAAAGTTCAGCAGCCAGTTACTGTTTTAAAAGTATCTTGTAACTCAAGTAATTTTATATCATTTCTACTACAGGTCATGGCTGATGGCAGCACAAATGTGTGTGTTCCCAGCACTTGCTCTAATGACAAGGAGGACAGAAGTTCAGCAGCAGTATTCCAAGAAGTTGACAAACCCATCACTTATGATGAGCATGCCCCCAGGTATGCTCATCATCTTTTTTCTTTACTACACAGTATTTGTGCAGGGTTTATAGATTTGTTCCTCCTTTGTTCAGTGCTCTGTTCTTGCACATTTGATGTCATCATGTTGGAGCTCCATTTTCTTGATACAGTTCCATGTATGTGTCTGGCTGTACAGGTTTTTCACTGTCTATGAGGATGGTTCTGGAACTGAGCTCCTGCGGAGCCGGGATGTACACACATATCTGGTTGAGGCCTGTAGTGATCCTGCCACTGCAATCTTGCAGGATCCTGTACAAGAACATCCAGGTAGAAAACTTTTCATTTCTGACAGACTACTAATAGAAAGAATTGCAAAGGTGGAGTCCAAAGTTTCAAAACACTTTATTTGGACAGAAAATGTTTTTACCCATGCAGAAAAGCATCTGGCAGCAAAGCATGGGAAAGGAGGAGTTTGTGGGAGAACTCTGGGAAGCAGAGAATTGAACTGAAGGACACTTAAGAGAAAAGTGAAAAAACAAATGGCATATCTCTATCCACTCTCAGTCACACAAACAAAATTACCAAAATGGATATTTCCTGTACTTACCATAAAAAAAAAAAATGAATGTATCACGGTCTTCATTAATGATATTGCAGTGAAGACAATGATACCCTGATGTTGACCCTTAGCCTGTCTGTTGAAAAGGATACATGTTAAGAAGCTGAAAAAACATGACTGAAATAGAAGATGCCAGTAGTATGTGGTCCCAACCACCTTGTAGTAGCAGTGAAAGAAGTTACATCCTGAAATGGTTGGTTATCATTGTAAAGTTAGTTGGAGATACTGTGTTTCTATAAAATACACTGTGGCAGAACAGGTAGATGCTAACAAAAAAATGTAATCTTTAAAAGACAGGCATGTATGGTTGCCCTGGATATGGAGGGGATGATAAGGGTAATTTGCCTCAAGCTGTAAAATACTAAGACATTTTGACAAAGATTTATGTTATAAGCATAAGAAACAGTTTTCCCACTTACTACTCTTATCAGGTGTTGCACATTTTTAAATCTACTTGTATTCACAATAATGACCGGTTCCCCACTGTAGAAACTGAATGAAATAATTTTGCTATGGGAAAAGGGAAAAAGAAGGGGCACTGGGGGAGCCAGGAAGACAAAGCAGGTAAAAAGATCAGAAAGATGGAGAACATACATACCCAGTGAAAATCCCAATCAAGAAAACTTGCTTACCACCAGCAGTCATTTGTAATAATAGCACATCTGATTTTCCAGACTTCATACTTCACTTTTCACTGGCTCTATTTGCCTTGACAACAAGGCTTCAGAATTTTCTGTCATTGTGACAAAGTACCTCAGTGGTGATATCTATTTTGATGGCCACCTATGGGGTAGATAATAGTAAGTTAATTAGTTTTTCAGTTGGGCTGGAAAAAATATTTTGACAAACATTAAAATTTATCCAAACAGTAGAAATAGATCATCTCTAATGGAATGCTTCCAGTGATCAGATTATGAAGTATAAAATACAGTGAAGAATTTTTCATGTTCTAAATATGTTGTACAGCTTCTGAGATTAATATTCAGTAAACACGGGTCAGTGGTCTGCTCTTCCTTGTTTGGGATACTCCACACAGTATACAACTGAGCTGTTACCCAAGAATCAAAGCAAGTAGCATAGACAGTTTATTGTTAAGCATGGTCTGAGTAATCTGAACTTGTCCAACTATTCTATAATCAACTCAGTGATCTGTATTATCTGTTGCCATGGATACATGAAGTTTTATCGATTGATAGTAAGATTTTTTTAAACTTAGGTAAGTGGTTTTTTCTGTAGGTCGGAGACACTTGTCCATAATTTTTTAATTTGAACTGATTCTTAGTAAAATATGTCTTTGAACCAGGTGTTTTAAGTATTACTATCCTCCACCCTATGACTGACGCCTCCCCCTGGGTAATGAAGAAAGAACCAGAGAGTATTGTTCCTCCAAATCTTCGGTCAGAACCAGAGAGTATTGTTCCTCCAAATCTTCAGTCAGAACCAGAGAATATTGTTCCTCCAAATCTTCAGTCAGAACCAGAGAATATTGTTCCTCCAAATCTTCAGTCAGAACCAGAGAATATTGTTCCACCAAATCTTCAGTCAGAACCAGAGAATATTGTTCCACCAAATCTTCAGTCAGAACCAGAGAATATTGTTCCACCAAAACTTCAGTCAGGGACTGAGGAAGCATCTTCTCCTCTTGAGGTATGATTGTTTCAAAACTGCCTTTTCCTGTTAAAGCAATAGATGATTGTCTCTGTGGGGAGAAGGAACTCTAAACAATGGGAATGTTAAGTTCAGTTTATTAAGCAGACAAAGCAAGGGGTAGACTGTGTCAGGGAATGTGTAGTCCCCTTGGGCTTCTTTTACACTCAGTGAGGGGATATAGCAATTATAAGGGGAGTTTATCTTGCCAGACGAAGAGGTTAGATAAATTGTTCCCAGGAATCTACCAGCTTAATTATCTAGATTCTTAATTATGTAAGGAGAACATATGCTTTTCAGCTGAGACACACATTGCTGATGTCTGCATTTAGTCGGTAATATTAGTAACTTCTTGCTCTTTTTGCTTGTTCTTCTCTATGTTCAGAGGAAGATCACAGATCCCTCAGTCAGAACGTGTATTTGGAAGGGTCTCTGCATTGGATCTGCAGAGCAGTCATCCTTACCAGTACCTGTGCGTAAATGTCCTAATAACCTGGTAATCCGTCAGCTATTCCAGTATAAGCCACTCAGTGATGAACTAAGAGAAAAGCTGCATCTTTCCCTCAAGGTACTACAATCACATTTATTCATTCTTCCATTAAGTAATTCATGGCTGGGCTTCGCGAACAAAGATTTGAGGAGGGCTCTACCCACGTTTGTTACAAGTGCGCTGGTGGTTAAAAAGGCCAATACGAGACAGGCATGTCCAGTTGCAAAATACACAGCAGAAAGACTCCTTAGGTGGTATATTCTACAAGACACGATTCTTTCTGCATTGTCTTTTCTCCTTGAGAGTGATTCTGCGTGCGTTCTCAAAAGCATCAGCAGCGTTATAGATGGTGCGTCTCCAGGTGTCCCAATTGGAGGCCAGAGTAGACCAGTCATGTTGATCAATATGGCCAAGGCTGAGATGTTGTTTCAGGGAGTCCTTGTATCTCCTCTTTGGGGCTCCTCTCATGCGGCAGCCAGTGGCAAGTTCACCATAAAGCAAGATCTTAGGGAGGCGGTGGTCCTTCATCCTTGAGACGTGCCCTGCCCAGCGCAGCTGCGTTCTCAGCAACATGGCCTCAATACTTGTGATAGCTGCTTGTTCTAGAACAGATGTATTAGTCACATAATCACATAATCCAGTAAGTAATAGAGAACAGATAAATAGACAAATGGGGTATCAATGGCGGGGGAGGGGGCGAATGGAGATGGGCCAAGGGGCTCGGAGGTGCCCTGCGTAGGTTTGGACGAGGGCAGCCGAAAACCGAAGGACGAGGAATGCGGGGGAATGCCCCTCTTGCTACGTGGCAAGTCAAGCTGATGCTTCAGCTGAGATAGAGAGAAGCCAAACCAAGCAGGCTTTTTCTGGGTAAGGACTTTGGTGAAAACTATTTGGGGTATAAGACTGAGCCAAAAACCCGGAAAATCCTGCAACCTGGGGAGGAAGAGTGGACCCCAAGTGAAGAAGTCCCTGAAATCTTACTCCCTGGGAGGAACCTTCACAAAACAGGGAGAAAGGACTCAAAAGCTGACTTTTGAGTGATGCAGACCTGATGAAACAAGTGTTCCCTTGCAGCTCAGGAGGAGACCTCAGCAGAGTCCGAGCAGCTGGTGGGGGTGAAAAAGCCCCCTTCCCTGGTACCCCAATGAGAGAGAGACTTTAGATATCGCCCTGAAGGTTTTTCTTCTGAACTGATGTGGGAGGGCCCCAGGGGTGGTAGAAATTTTATTAATACTGTGTGTTTATTTGCTTTTTAGTTTCTATAGTTTTTATTCTGTTAGTAATAAACTTTGATATAATTCCCCCATGCTGAGTTGTGCCTGTCTGAAACCTTCTCTCTCACATTTGAGGCAAATTGTGGAGGGACTTGGAAATTGGAATTTTTGGGAGCTTTCAAAGCGCTACAGACATCAAAGAGTAGGGAGATACGGATCACAAACAATATTTGTTAGAACACCTTTTATTCATTAAGCTTATCTTAATAATATAGATAATATAGATTTAGATTGGATATTAGGAAGAAATTCTTTACTGTGAAGGTGGTGAGACACTGGCACAGGTTTCCCAGATAAGTTGTTGATGCCCCATTCCTGGAAGTGTTCAAGGCCAGGCTGGATGGGGCCCTGAGCAACCTGCTATAGTGGAAGGAGTTAGATGATCTTCAAGGTCCCTTCCAGTCCAAGCCATCTGATGGTTCTCTAATTACTTCCACAAATTCTTTTCTCTGTCATGGGTCCCTTAAGTCTACCTCTGCAAAGAAAACATCTGCCTCTTTCTTGCTCTTTTTCATTGTTCCACCAGGAATATATGGACAACATTTTAAAGCATGAAAATGAGCTGGAAGAGATGAATGTGAAAGAACCAAGAACAGAAGAGGAAAAGGAGAATGCTGAAAGTCTCCTTGAACTGGTTACAGTGAGAAAAATACAATTTTTAACTACTTTTTCCAACAAAAACATTGTACTGCACTGGAAGTGTGACCCTTGAAACACATCATTGTCCGTTAATAAAACAGTAAATGTCAGGATAGAACAGTGCCAGCTATGCTGTAGTTTAATGTTAAAGCAAAGCCACACAGTATTAAGGTGGGCTACTGAATGGCACTACTGCCATTTGGGGAAGCATTGCTCAAAACACTTCAGGAGTTTGACTCTACTGAATGATACATTTCCAAACACACAGACCAAAATTACCGAAATGTGTATGTCCCCCAGCCTTGGGATTTCCAGTCTGTTGTTATTGCACTGAGAGACTTTTATTTCAATCACAGCCACCTCCATAGTAAGAATTTAAACCCTGCTTTTGGGATAATACAAAAACAATCTGGAGGAATATTGTTATTACTGCTGAGCAGAATTTATATATTTTTTGGGAACTGTAATCTGCTAATTTGCATGGATATTTAGAGCATGGAAAGAAAAAGGAGAGGAATAGGTAATGGGAAAGGTGGGTATATGGGAGAAGAGGGTCACAGCTTCTCTGAAAACAGGAACAGAGAAATGTTCTGCCAGTAACTCCACCTGCCTCTGTCCTCTAGGCAGACATTGCTTTGCTTTGATGAGATCCAGGTGCTGAATCTCACATGCTGCTCAGTTCCAGTGAACTTGTCTAGTGACTAATTATTGTTGATTGTCTTGGCTACCATGAGCACATTTCCAGGTACAGATTTCACATTGGGCAACTCTTTTCTGAGCAGTAGTCTCACTATGCTCCTGCTGTGACCCAGGAATCAGTGTCACTTCTTCCAGGTCTCCAGTGTTCCCTACCTCTGTTACAACCTAGACTGTCTGGTCGCAAGAACTCTGCTTCAGAGACAGCATGAGAATAAAGGAAACACTCTAGTTTAGAGTCTCTTACTCCTCGTTCACTTTACTGTAAACCAGCCACATGAGAGTTCTGAGTAACAAAGCCTACAAATTCCTGAACACATTTCCCGTTTGACTTGTTGTTGTGACCATGAGTTTTAAATCTGGTTCAAAGCCTTTGCAAAAGGATTTGAGTTTGATTATGAATTAGTTTAGTTGAGATCATAAACAGCAACCATATAAAATACAAAGTCATCTGTGAAGTAGGTCATCAAAAAGGAAACAAACACGTTTGGACCAGGGGAATTGTACTTCATTTCCTTTTTTCCCAGCTCATGTTTTCTAACATCCTGAAATACCTCCATTCTTGTAGTCACATTGTCAGGTAACAAGATAACACTTGTTTGGGATAGAAATCCTTTGAACAAGATGCTGCTGTTGTGATTTTTTTTTTCTCACATGATCACAGCTATTCCTTCTTCATTGCAGTCCTTCCCTAACTGGGAGAAGTCAATTGAAAATCTCAGTGATAGAGGTAATAAAAATTGAATAGCTGTATTTTTTAATTGTAAAATATCATAGTAAGTTTTAAAATACTGTAATATTATTTTTAAAGAAGGAATATAAAAGTGAATTCATCTCTGTGCTATGTACATGCTTCTGTGTAAATTTCACAGGTGATTAGAACTCGTTAGCATCAAAGATTCAGTACCTCTAAAAATAATTCCTGTGTTTAGGCATGTGTATTTGATATTGTGACTCACATTTCCACATGTAGTAAGTTTTCTTAGGTATAAGAACTATGACAGTAAGTGCTTTTATACAAGTATCAATTTTTCAGACAAGTTTTTCAAAGCAACTAGATGAATCCTGATAATTTACGAGACTTGAAAATCTGATCTCAAATGATCATGTGTTTTGGTTACATTAACCTTGTATAAGGAAAAAGATGGAGCAACGTATTAGCTTTCCCTCATGAATTTCTGTTAAAATTTTCATAAGATACTTTTTAACATTAATTAATGTTTTCTATATGTACAAATAAAAATTAAGAGGACTGTTTCTTTTAAAAATCCATAAGCCTTTTCCATAGAAAAATCCATAACATTCTATCCCCTAGTGATGATAGTTTTTAAAGTGTTATTTTTCTGCCCTTCCTACCTTGTCAAGAGTATTTCTGCTTGTTATAAAATAGCATGCTATGCAAAGTAAATGGAAACTGCTGCAACAAATGCTTGCTACAGTTTCTTGATTTAAATGGAGGTGCAATTTTAATGTAACATTATTAATGAAGAAGATAGTGGGAAAGAAAAGCTGTTTAAAATAGGTAAAAATAGAAAAAGATAAAAATATATTTTATGGTGAAAAAGCTGAACAAAAACCCATACACACGTTTTGAAGTTTGAACTTATGTAATTCCTAAAAAACTAAGAGATATTGTTATAGTCTAATAAGATCACATCTGTCAAATACTCAGATTTCCTAAGTTTTGTCACAGAAATTTGTTTTCAACCAAGGAAACTTCTTTGGACTCACAATTTAGGTTCAAGGCATAAAATAAGCAACATATTTTATAAAATATGTCAGCAGACAGGGCAACTCTTTATTACCGCTGGTCACTATCTTAAACACGGAAAGACTGGCACTTCTCCATTATACATATTGAACTAGTAGTTCCTTCCATGAGAATGTTGATTATGGCTGCTTCACAGCTACAATTAAGCACAAGTTAAGAAAGCTGAATGTAATACAGGTCCCTGAAAGCCCACATTATTTTCTTCAGCTGAAAATAGAGACCTGGAATGTTGCTCCCCAGTCAGAAAGTGACTGAATGTCAGCAACTTTTCCTCTTCACAGGTATTTGATTTGTATCTTTTCAAGGTTCAAGATATTCAAGAACATAAAGATATTTCAGGAAATACAGGGTTGGAGTGTGAACTTAATCGTCCTTTGCTTCTCATCCTTTCTATACTGCAGTCAATTAATTTCTTACCTGTTAAAGTTCTGAACTTGATTTTGGAATGGAGATTTCTGCCTTTTCTCTCACAGTAACAAAGTCTGTGTTAGGTTTTCATAAAGTGATGGAAAGATGCATTAAAAATATATCCTTCAATGTTTTTTATTCCTAACACTTAGCACTGTTTAGCAGAGCGTGCACATTCATTAATACTCTTTACCTTGCAGCTCATGTGAGTGAGCTGTATGAACAGGCTTCTCATCACACAAAGAAGATAATCACTACACAAAGAGAGGACCAACAGCAGCAGTTAAGGTAGGACAGAACAGACAGAACTGATGCAAGTGTAAATAACACACAGGATGGAACCAAGCACACAGGCAAGGCAATGTACTTTACTGACTCTCATTAAGGACTGGGACCTGGATCTCTAGATATATATCACAGTGTTTTAATAGCTTGTCCTATGATTATTTTGTACCTCTGTGCCTCTCTTTCCTTATCTGAAACATACTTAAAAGTTTTCTGGGAAAGGCTTTTGAATGTTTGTTTGATTGAATAATCTAATAAAAATGCAGATATGACCAAACTATTTTGTGTAAACCATACAAGTCCAAGCCAGGAGTCACCTGAGGTGTTAACATAACATATTCTCATAAAGAGCATTTTCTTTCCAGGTATCTTGTAAATATTTTTTTTTTTTTTGCTTATAGAACACAATGCTAGTTTTCTCATTTCCACTACTCTTTCTGTTTTGGGGTTTTTTTTCTGATCATTCAGCCCAGAAGGAGTAACACCAATGTCCAAGTGGCCAAGCAGATTGGAACAGCACAGGTAATAGCATTAGTAGGTTGAACTTATTTTATGAGCCAGCTTAATCTGCATTTGTAAAGAATGTTATTGATTTCACCAGGTCTTGGGTAATAGTCCAGGGACTTGCTAGCAAATAATGGGGTATTTTCTGCAGCAGAAACACTGAATAAATGGTTTGAGCCTCTCTCTTTTACTTTTTTTTTCCCCCAAACCCAACAGTATTACTGCTAACTTACACTGTTCAAAACAAGACTGAAGTCAGAAGCCCTGTGTTTTGTTTACTGGTTCTGCCACTAGTGTGGAATATACTGTATACTTCTCATTTATATTGATAGCTATTTAGGAAATTCAGTATTTCTTAGACGAACCAGAATAATGTAAAAAAGTCCCATGAGGAGGGGCTGAGGGAACTGGGATTGTTTAACCTGGAAAAGAGGAGGCTCAGGGGAGACCTCATCACTCTCTACAACTCCCTGAAAGGAGGTTGTAGCAAGGTGGAGGTTGGTCTCTTCTCCCAGGCAACTATCAGTAAGACAAGAGGGCATGGTCTTAAGCTGTGCCAGGGGAGGTTTAGGTTAGATATTAGGAAGAAATTCTTTACAGAGAGGGTAATTAGGCATTGGAATGAGCTGCCCAGGGAAGTGGTGGATTCTCCATCCCTGGAGGTTTTTAAGATGAGACTGGATGTGGCACTTAGTGCCATGGTCTAGTAATTGCAGCAGTAGTGGATCAGGGGTTGGACTTGATGACCTCAGAGGTCCCTTCCAACCCAGCTGATTCTATGATTCTATGAATTAATATTATAATCAGAAACTTGCTTTTTCTTTCTTGTTTTTGTAAAAGGTTAAATAGCAATTGAAAACTAAGTTATCTTCCATATTTCTTCTTAATTACTTTCTGATTTGCATGAAATAAAAAAACCTTTTAGAGTTTCAGAGTTATATTTTAATATAGCATTCCACACTATTTTGCATACCCTTAAAAAAATTACTTTAAATACATATGTCTGAGTAGCCAGCACGCAAGAACATCATGTGCAATTATGGCTTTAAAACCAGATTAAGTATGATTAAGAGTGATAATTTCATGGCTGATATTAGACCCTGCAAGTCAGTGAAACTTTAGTAGTGTAAAACTGGGCTAAATGGAGCAGAACATAACTGGTCTTTACTCTGGTGAATCTTACCTTCAGAAAATTGAACAGAATTTTCTGTATCCACAGAGCCATCAAGTTTTCCTGTTATAAAATAAGGAAATTAGATTAATTTTGCGTTCAAAATTTCAGCAATGGATCTGAAATACCAATTCTTTGATTTAAATGTTTGTTGGAAGTTTGAAAAGACACTACTGGCAGTCCCAGACATGTTCCACAAGATTCAGAGCAATGGAGCATGTTCTGAAAAGGAGCTCTTCATAGCAGCCAATCCACTATCCATATGCATTTTGATCAGACCAGTCCATTCTTGATCCATCATTGAGAAAATTGCCAGTAACAAGAATATCAATCCATGTATGATTAACCGGGGGAAAAAAAATGCCATTTGCCTTTACCAATTCCATTTCTCAATGTGTAATACTGATAAACAGGGTGAACTCAGTTATAATGGTTTTTTTTCTTTTTTTCCCTTACCAACAATGTAAAAATCATACATAGGAAAGAACTTGATGAAGAAAAGGAGACCTTAATGGCAATAAGAAACAAAAGATTTCTTCCATATTTTGAGTCAGAATTCAGCAAAGAATTTTTCGAAAAAAAGGTAATGCAGCTGAAAATGGGAAGAGTTTGTGTTAGGCCAGGTAGTATCTGCCATACTCCCACAGATGGATGTGGGTTTGTTATATCTCAGCCTCAGTTTATCTCAAGAAACCATTACAAAGGACAGTTGTGGCAGAATTAATACTGGGAATTATATGCCCTTGTCAAAAAGAAACATATCTTGAAGATGGTATATGTTTACTGAGTAAAAACTCTGTAAAATTCTTTCTATAAACTCTGGAGAGAGTCTGATTCAGAGCAAAGCTAAACCTCAGGTCTTTTGACTTATCCCTCAAAACCTCTCCCTGTTAATTAGATTATTAGGTAATTAGTAAAACTAACATTCCTAAGTTAGATGTGACCTTGGGAGCTTTCCTGTCGTAATTTCGTCTGATAAATGCTGTAAGTACATAAAACATACACAAAAATGTACGTTGGAAACTGAGGTAACTGTGTATCATTTTTATAGTTACCACTTTGGTTCTACTTATTTGTTTCTTTTATACTCTTTATTTTTATTTTTTCCTTTCTTTTTTTGCAGGGGGAGGAGGGTGTCTGCTATTTGCTTTTTGTAAATGTTTATTTGAAAAACATAAGCCCTCTTTCTTACTTTTCTCTAGTTTCCTGATGTGGAAGCACTGTGCATGGAACTTCCTCCAGTTCAAAAAAAAGAAAGTGTGACTTTCCCTCCAGACACAATTAAAAAACCCAGTAGAGGTAATCTATGGTCTGGCAACATTTTAGTATCTTCTTCAGGAGGAAGAAGCCTTTGCAGACATCATTGAATGTGGAAGCACTATCAGCTTTGGATGCAAAGCTGAAGAATTGTGCTATAAATGAGGGGTGGATGGATGCAAAATGCTCAAGAAAAACATAAATGGAATAAACAGTAGTTAGGGGTAGATAGGCAAGAACCAAGGAGGCCAAGTTCAGAAAAAGACTAGTATGGCTGTAGGAAAAAAATGGGAGATGGAATTCTGAAACTCAGTGGTAAGAGGGAACTGGTGCAAAAGCAATATGGAATAGGAAACATGCAGGCTAAGGATAGTTTGGAGGATATAGGAGGAAAGCAGTGACTAGATGACAGGAAGCAGTGAAAGAGTGAATCATCGTCTAATGTTTGAGCTTGACAGAATTGAGAGGAATACTTTGGTTCTGCATGAAAAGCAGCCCTGACAAGTTACTGAAATCATGTACTGAGATTAAAAGTCATACACAGCAAAGATTCATGTCAGGAAAACAGTCATCCATTGGGCTTTATCAGACTGCCACTAATTCCCATATTTCCTCATTTTGCAGTCATTATAAGACCTGTGTTAGCTTATCCTTTAGCCCTTTATGGCTTGTTGCTCAGTTAGCCAGAGAACACGAAATGACTAATCACACAATAGGCATTTTTGATCCCTGTGGCCCAGTGGAGCAAAATGACACATGCAGAATTTTCCCAGCACCTCATGGTTATGTAGACAGCCTTCCAAGGTTGTCTAAATTAAAGTGGCAAAGACATTATGATTTTTTTTCACATGTTTATTAAACTGATGGTGATCATGAAAAACACTTGTCTCAATATTCTGTTATTTTCCCTTTAGCAGCTGAACTTCTTGATACTATAAGTGATTCATCACTTTTGCCTGGCCTTCTGCTGCAAGCTCCTTCCAAACAAAATGAAAGTTCCAGCATCACAACAGGTAAACCTGCCTTCCAGAATGTAATTTGGAGCAGGTTACTATCATTTTATAACAACTTTTGACAAAATATTTGCAGTACAAATTTAATCCACCTATTATGCTTAGTTTTTTGTGCTTTTGACATCTTTTATTTCCAGACCTAAACAAGGCTGCAAGAACAGAAGAGGCACCCTTTCAACATAAAGTTCAAAGTCTGACAGTGAATGCTGCAGGACAGACAAGAAAAGAGAAAGTAATATTACCGTCATCCCTTCAGGGGACAAAACCAAACTCCATACCAAATAAAAAGGTAAAATAACATCTTTCTTGTCCATATTAATATCCTCTCAGTCATCTCTTTTGCATAAAATCTTCACTCTGGAGTGAATACTGGAAGGTACTTTGTTTATTGAAATGTGGCAGTTGCAATTCATGTATGTTTACTGGCAATTCTAAAAGTACCTTTCTTCTTAACTGCTGGGACAAACTTGTTCTGCACCAGGCACCCACATGAAAGGTCAATGGCTTAATATGTCTGAAAACTCAAAATCAGTATAAATTTGCAGACAATATTCAAAGTGCCTCGTCAGTTTTTACTCAAATTAGGATGTCTTTTTGTAATTCTTGAGGATGAGTGGACAGAAGTCAAACATAGGTTAAGCCACTCTAAACTTCACTTGACAGCCACCAACTTTCTCTTTGTCTAATATTTTGTTTGCAAAGATAGAAGATCCTGTGGCAGGAAAGATCAAAACATCTTCTCTTGCAACAACAAGACAGGATCTTAACGGCTTCCATCTCATCCCACCCAGAGTGACATTCGGAGTGTTAAAGGAAGGCTGCACCTATGCAACCACTGTAATCATGAAGAACGTCGGTGTGAACTTCTCAAGGTTAGTTTGAATTTTTAGTACCCTGGTTTTTATCTGTCCAAACAGATCCTGACAAAAATCAAGTACAGTTTCTCATAACAGCCACCACTCCAGAGAAAGAGCAGGAATTCTGCCAGCCAGTTTATACGTCTGCCAGAGCTTTCCATAAGATGGAGCCATATACTAGGAATGCCTCTCTACTGCCTTTCCTTTAATGGCTTCTGGTACAAGTGCATGCTGGTAACTGTTCTTCAAATGAAAATGAAATCCACGGGATAAATTCCAGAGTGATGCAAAAGTGAAGGTCATATCTGATCTAATGATCTTTAGCAATTTTAACAGTGGAAGTTGTATGCACAAAAGGACTGAATCTCAGATGTGTAACAATCAGTAAGAAATGAGGAAGTGAAACTTCTGTTTTAGTTGGTACTATTAAATTAAAGATTATTCCCACAAAATTCATACCAGTATCATGTCTTGTGCAATAGAATCATATCAAAGGACATTAAATAAAGATCATTAAGGACTCCTGGGTGTGCAATGCACAGGTGTCTGCCAAAATGTTTGTACTTCAGTTTCCTTTGCATGTGTAAGTTTAAAATGCTGATGTTTCACATTCTGTTGTAAGGACCAGGCAGTGTTAACAAGCTTTTTGAAGGCTTATTTTAGCCCAATAATCTGCTCCTTTGGGGTTTTTTTGTTAGAAACCGGAGCCTTGGCGAGAAGCCCAGGAATACCACTGTAGTCCAAGTTGTACATTTTGATGGAAAGGATGAGCTAACAAATTCTGCTGTCGTTTACAAAAGCAGAGGAAGAGCAGACAGCATGCTTCCTAGATGTGACTTCTGCCTGTCTGAAACAGTTTCTGTCAAACTAATTCTCTTCTCTTTCTGACAGGTTTCGGGTGAAGCAGCCGCCTCCATGCACAGGACTGAGAGTGATGTACACACCAGCACCTGTAGGTTACACAAGAGATCTTTTGGGTTTTTTCTAGACTCAGCTGGCCCTCAGGCTATCTAGGGGTCGTGTCACACAAGCTGTCTGGGAAGAGAGCTGGCAGGGTACAGCATTTGTTTAAAGTTATTTGAAGTGATTCTGTCTTCCACTGTCCCTCTGCCACCTTCAACCAAGCACCCCTGCGCCACCCACCACAGTCTCAGAGCCTGTGCCAGAATGCAGAGGGATAAACATAAAGTTCAGTGTAAAGCAGCAGGTCAAGCAGCGAGGTTAAAGAGAGCTTTTTCAAAGCAAACTGTAACACTACCTCTGAGTTTTCCCCTCCATTTAGGGTATTATTTGTTATATCTGCTCTGTCTTATGCCTAGAGTTTATTTCCTGTCCTGATACCTTCAAGAGTTGAACCTAGTAAACTATTGCTTCAATCCTTTCTTCTCCTGCTTCCAACTATTCTCCGCCTTAAGGCTTTTATCTAGCAAAGCACCATAGCACATTGTTATCTCGGTAAGTAGGAAGCTTTCGTGCTTTCTGCTTTTGTTCAGTCTCTCTCTTCACCTGCACATTGTACCTGAATAAATAGTACTGGCCAGTATCCCCACGGCATCCAGGTAATACCAGGCAAAATCTTTGCTAGTGTGTGGAATCAAGAAGCAATGACTTGTGCAGGGAGGCAGTGCCAGAACGCAAGTCAAACCTCCTAGTCCAGAGCCCTAGCCACAACTCAGTACTTAGAATAATTTAGGGAGAAGGATGTTGTGGGGGACTGTGTCAAGAGCTTTACAGAAATCCAGCTAGATGGCTGGAATAATTCCCATTTTCTTCTTTTCTCCACACATCCATCCTTTTTGTATCTCCCTACCTCTATGTTCTTTTTAGAACAGATTACAGTATTTATTTCATTTGGAAGGGACCTGCAATGACCATCTAGTCCAATGGCCTGACCACTGCAGGGCTGACCAAAAGTTAAAGCATGGTATTAAGGACACTGTCCAAATGCCTCTTGAACACTGACAGGCTTGGGGCATCAACCACCTCTCTTTTTGATTCTCTCCCAGCTGGCCCAATTCCCCTTTTTTCCTCTGGAACCTAAAAGGAAATACAAGGGGGGGAAATGTGATCACCTGATAGTTTTCTTTCAAATGACAATGTTTTGTACAGACCTTTCTAGTGAAACAGATAGTGGGTAACTGGCAAGTGCAGTAATGTGCTGGGCAGTGCGTCTGATTTCATCAGACAACACTGAAGAACCACCAGCTCCAAGGACTGCTAGAGGGCGCATGTATGAAACTTGCACCTTACCTGTGAGTAATCCTCTGTCTCTCCCAGGTGGCGGCAGGCTTGGAGGTTGAACTGGAGATAGAGATTTTTGCCATGGTAATTGAAGGGAAAGATACTGGTGGCCTTGAAGAAGTTTCCCATGATATTGAAATATTAACAGAAACAGACACTCTTCTCCTGCCTGTGAAAGCAAATATCCTTTGTTGTCTTATTTCCCACACATATCTTGTAGCATCAACCCCAGAGACCATCTTCCTGTCAGGAGCCTCAAGCACTGTTTCCAGTGCAGGCTGCTGAGGTAGCAAGCTTTACTGTAGTTTTCAGAAACACACAAATGGATGTTTTCAAATGCACAACAAATGAACAGTTTAAGATCCTGATGCCAAAAGCAATTTACATTAGAATAACAAAGCTTTGAAAAGTGGGGAAAGAAAGAATGGCAACTCAGAAAGATGAGGCTTTTAAAAGAATAAATGAAAATAACAGGAACTCTTTCCAACCACTCCTCATGAAAATACTCTATTACATTTTTGAATCTATGGGAGCATCTGATGGTACAACCTCATGAGCAAGAAAATGATGTATCATCATAATACTAAACAGACAAATGAGACAATCCCTGTGGCAGCAAAGATGCAAGCACAGAAGTGCACGAATGCTGTCAGAAGTAAGCCCAGTGTGGGTTCAGTGGGCTTTTCAGTTCTTTAACTGAGGACAAGGGTACAGTAAAAGAAAATAGCAAAGTCAAGAACTGTTATTTCTTCTTCCCTTGTGCTCCAGAAGCTATAATTATTTTTTTAGATAAAATTATAGGCTCATTTTTAAGGGCAAGTTCAGAAGGGTGAAGTTCTGTTTGACTTTTAATCAAATATACACACAAAAGCCTGGGAGAAGAGTTCTGGAAACCTATAAAAGAAATAGCATGGCAAGCTACATCCAAACATGTCAGAACCTTCATTCAAAATAAGGGCCACCCTTATCAAAGAAAAGAGAACTTCAGGGTCTTCTGAGTCCGATCAGAGTACTAGCTAACAGCAACTCCATTAAGGCTTTATATGCTCGGAGGCAACATTGAAACTTCCCAAATTTACTTTGTAGTGGCCCAAAGAAACCTTTCATGCCTGTAATTGCAGAGCTGAGACAGGACTGGTGGCATTGCAGCAAAACCAGCTGCTGTTCTGTTCCCACTCACCCAGTCCTCAGACCCACAGTTGCAGACCAGCCCCCAAAACATATGCCCTTCCCCAGTATTTTACCTGGTCCTTTAATCTTTGAGCTGAGGAGAGTAGTCCACATTCAAGACATTTCACGATCTTATTTCCAGAATTCATTTCAACCCCCACACGTTATTTTAAATAAATGTACCAAAAGGGTTAGATCTTTAACATGACATTCCACCTGTGTTAACCAATGACATTTATGAGTGCCGCCCAGAAGGATACCCTCAAGGAGGGATGGCAGCAACAGTCCGGGCAGTTCCTACAAGCCCCAAGCCACGGCTACGGATTACACTACCCCGAAAGCCTTCTAGTTAATGTAAGTACTGGATGCACTGATACCAGCTGCAAATTAAAGTACAGTTGTTTACCTCCTCTTGGCTTCATCACCAGCATGAACAATCCTCATGGAACTCACAGCAAAGCTGTCATGCACCCATCACACTGACATGGTCACCTGAGACAAGAGAAAGGAGCCACTGTGATGATATTAACCAAAGGATTCATTACAAGAGATTTGCAAATTACTACAACTGCTCAGCTCCATGGAGGCATTCATAGCAGAGCCTCCTCAGTCCTCTCCCAAATCCTTCACTTACTGTCTCCACATTAAACAAGTCCTGGCAGCTGGATTTATTACAGTTAAGCCCTAATAAATCAGCCTCTCTTTAACACTTCACTTTCTAAAACCTAGTCGTACTGATGACCCTTTGACACTGACAGCAAGTCTCATAAGGGACAGGAGCCTTACAGATAGAGCAACCTTAATGTGACAAATTCAAATACACACAACCCTCTGCACACACTGTTTAATATACCACATTTCTGTAGCCTCAGACAGTCAATCTATACAGAGAATCACAGAATATTCTGAGTTGGAAGGGACCCACAAGGATCACTGAGTCCTGCTCGTGGCCCTGCACAGGACAGCCCCAAGAATCACACCATGTGCCTGAAAGCATTGTCCAAACCCTTCTTGATCTGTCAGGCTTGGTGCTGTGACCACTTTCTTGGGGAGCCTGTTCCAGTGCCTGACCACTCTCTGGGTGAAGAACCTTTTCCTGATATCCAACTTAAACCTCCCCTGACACAAGTTCAGGCCATTCCCTCAGGTCTTGTCACTGGTCACCGCAAAGAAGAGACCAGTACCTCCCCATTTTCTTCCCCTCACAAGGATGTTGAAGACGGCAATGAGGTCTCCCCTCAGTCTCCTCTTCTCCAGGGTGAACAAACCAAGTGTCCTCAGCCACTCTTCGTACAGCTCCTCCTCAAGGCCCTTCACCATCTTTGTAGTCCTCCTTTTGATGCTTTCTAATAGTGTCTTACAATGGGTAAGTCTTCCCTGACAACAAGAAAGCCTTACTGGGAATTTCTCATGAAACCACCAGTCAACATGTTTAACATTAGGCTGGTATTTCATCTCATCCATATGAACTCAGATGCTCTACAATACAATTGATGGTGACAGTTCATAAACAGGAACCCTATGGATGTTTCTTCTTAGCTCAACAGTCCCCATTTGCTTCATATGTGTAACATTGACATCATCTTTTTCTTTCAACTTTAACATCTGTAAGCCTGCCATGTTATCTAACAAGTCAGTAAAGAAATCCCAGCTGTATCTCATTTCCTCTCCTCTGGAGAAAAAGAAAAGCGGCCACATCAGTCAGCTCTGAAAAACTTCGCAGACATGTACCTCTGACTGCTGCATCTGCTCTAGGACTGCCCAGCATACATCAAATATAGCTTTTTTTCCTGTTTAAATATCTTCTTACCTTTTCCAGTGCAGAATTTTACCCCTGGAGTAATATGCAATTATAGTCTATAAAAACATCCAGTTTAATGCCTTCCACCTTAGGGATTTACAACCTGGAGCTCATCATGAAGGCAGTTTAGACAAACTTCTCTCACTTTGTGTTGAAATGGAAGAGAAATAGTCACCCAGTCAGTTCACATTTTAGTGAGACACACCCTGTCCCAAGAGAAATTGGGACAGTGTGATCAGTGTGATCTCCCATTAAAAGCACCAAGTGGAGAGGAATTAACTACATGGTATTCTCCTCCTGCATGGCTACTCTAGCTAATCACAGCTGCCATGGCCATAGCCAAATCTCCCTTCTGTTCTGACAGTGTCCTTTTGTGAATTGATTGATAATTGCTGCTGAAGCTAGCTACAGCTACCCCATACTACCAAAAAACTGTACCTAGTGCCTCTTTGAACATTACTCCCCCTGAAATCTCCTGGACTCAAAGCCATATCCATCTCAAATATGTCAAGGAACTCTGGACTGGTTGGTTTAGTCTCACCAAACCTGAAACGCTGACACTCCTAGGTAAAGTCCTGTAGTTGGTTAAATAGTCTTATTCAGCCATCCAGAATAGAAACAGTTAAGTCATTGCAGAGGCACTGTGATCACTGTAACCACCTTTCCAGGTGGTTATCACCAGTCAGTGATTCTCATTGAGACATGGAAACATCCCTGCAATACTAGACTTCACAATACTAGATCACAAATTTGCCACCTCTCCTAGTAGAGGCCAACAAGCAAAAATCGCTGATCAAGCATCACCTGACCGAACTTAGTTTTATCTCATTTATATTTTCTTAGTTATTTCACATTTGTATTTAAAGCATTTCACAAAGATTCTCTTAACATACTCAGAATTAAATACTGCACAGGGAGCTGCCCATGAAAATCTTTGCTATTCCTAAGTAGACCACCCATCCTGAATGTGTAGTTATTTTTGTGCCATTCAGTTTGTGCAATAAAAGCAAACTCTTGATCTAGTTGAAGCCCATGTAAGAACTCTTTCTCATGATATTCCCTTCCAACAGCAAGAGGACAAATATACTGAAGCCAGTGTGTAGCAATCACAGTGCTCCCAAAACACTTGCAAACAATCTGGACAGAATTATTGGGTTTGCTTCAACAACTGTACAGAGGTAGAGCTGGGGTTTACCGGTTTGGGTTTTTTCTTTTATGTTAATTTTCTCTCCTCTTTCACTACAGGTTAGAGCCCTAGAAGAATAACATGAGGATCAACAGCACTGAAATACCTGAATTTTAGTCCAACGGTAGAGAAACATCCCAGTGTAGGCTTTTTCATTTACTTAATCAGATTAAGTGTGAATAAATATTTTTCCTGTTCCCTATTAATGGGAAAAGTGGTCCCAAAATTGCCTTAACTTCTGACATGGGTGTCTGAAATGCAAACAGTGGAAAGATTACAGTATTTCAACCCTACTACAGTACTGAATGGTTCCCAACAGGTTTGTTTTTAAAAAGGGGTTAGGTTTCAGGTGCTGAGGCACCTGAAATTTTTTTCAAGTACTCAGCATGTAGCAGGTTTCACTGAAGTCAACTGTGAATTCTCTAAGAGAGTTGCTGACCGGCTCTGGTCTTCTAAGTCTCTGCTTTCACAATCATAAGCTTAACTTTCTGTGTGTTCACCTACCTTTAATTAGCTGCAGACACCAGATGAGGGTTATGAGTACACAAAGTTACACTTGACAGAGAGGGATTCTGCTTATATCCTCTTGTTCACTGTCAGACATGAGGACCTTCAAATGCTTGTCTCTCTTCAGAGTGGGAGACTGAGCCACTTAGAGATGGCCTTTTCCCCCTCCTTGTTCCTACTTACACAGCAGTGACTAAGAGAAACATCTCAGGCTTTTTGTGAGCCATCTTATCTGTGTATCTGAATGCAGTTCTGCTTCCTGTTTATGAATGAATTCATTTCCACCAGGTGATTTTCTGTGCTTCATCCTTTTTCCAACATTGACATCCTGAGAGAGATGGGGAATTTTCCTTGATATATGCACATGACTTGTTCTCTCAACACTTCAGAGTGACTGAGAATCCCATGACTGGGGATTAATAATAGCTTTCACCAGTGTGAAATGTGAATGCCAGTTTTGTATTCTCTCATTCACACTGTTGAGACACATATTCTGATACAGATTTAAGCTGGCCTTGTACTTGCAATTGCTTTCCTGCTCAGGTTTGTAAATCCAGGGAATTTCACCTAAGAAAGGGCAAGTTGATGCACCCAAGGATATCAGAATTCTAGTGTATCAGTGAATTGTTGGCACAGGATAGACCTCTTCCATTTAAAGCATATGCTGAGCTCTCAGTAGCCACCCCAGTACTGCATTAGTACAGGCCAGTCACAAGTGATACTAATCAGAGAACCAGAGGGCAAGTTCAGCAGGGGAGCCTGTGGCAGCAGCTATGAAAGGACAACTTTCCACCACCTAAAAGACCTTTTCTTCCAAGAATTCTTCCCTAATACCAGTGACAGCAAATGGAGACAAAGGTGAAGGAATTCCCCGTCTTCCAACTTAGAGCAGAGGAGACACCTGTCATCCTAATGATGACTCTGCATCCCAAGCCACTCTTTTATACCTTTACAACCTTCTCACCAGTCCCTGAGTTCATGTGCACCTGTGGCTGTGTTTTTTATCCCAGGCCTCCCAGAGGATCATCAAACAGCAGCTCATTACATAGGTTCCATAGCACCTATCTCCGTGTCACTAAGGTAAAGAGGGCACATCATATGGAGGCACAGTCAGCCGTCCCCTTTTGGTACCTGGTTTTGGGATCTCTCTCCTCACTCACCGTGGCTGAGGGTGCACTGTGGTGTCACAAGCCACCTCTCCATTTGTAACACTTTTCTTTGTTTTCCCAGTGAGCTTGCCCATTTCAGCAGCAGCTGACATGGAAACCAGATGTCAACTGAGTTTACCAACAAAATTTATCATCCTACAGTGCATCCTCTTCCTCCCACTGCAGTAATTCCTCTTATGAGACTCTCTTATGAGGGTCTTCTCTGGGAGGAGTAAAGAAAAAGAACAGAATACAATGAAAGAGAACAGAATAGGTCAGGATGGAGACATGTTTGAGTGGAGCTGTTTGATCACAAGTTTCACTCATATCTGGACAAATATAAAATTAGAGAGGCACCCAGAAGCATCTGGCAGAGCTGTATGAAGGTTGCTACTTCTGTAAAGAGTCTGAGACCCACCTGCTGGAATTGGAGTACAACATGCTCCTGTAAATTACCCAGACTCTGCAGAATCAAGTGAACAATCAGCCCCCCTGACAAAGTTATTTACTAACAACAGTTACTCTAAGAGGTGTGGTTATTACACCTGAGGTGCTGCCTAAAGACTGAGCAACTGAACTGTTTGCTTTTTGCATACTTGCTAGTAATAGAGAACCTAAGTCAAAAACAGCACTCAGCAAAAACTGGGATGCAAATAAAAATCCACATGAAATGTGGTTAGAAATTCAGGTTAGAAATGCAGGTTAGAAATTCAGCTTTGAGTACCCAAGTCAGACATGGAGGCCTAACAGCCAGCAACTAGAAGCTGCCTCCACATCCACCAAACCTGTGATTACTGGTAAAAACACAGCATGTACTACAAACTAATAACTTACCAGAGCAGCAGAGCCTTGCTCACTTTATCCTGCCTCTCTGCCCCCGCTGAGAAAATAAACTCTTTTATCTGATACAGGACAAGTACAACATTGCAACAATCCAGTGCAATTTCTAAAAACTGGATCAAGTACAATGCAAACAACCCACACTTCTCCGCTCAGTCTGCCAGCTCTGCAGAACAGCACAATCCTGGGTGGCAGCCCTTTCATTTGCTCCCACTAATTTTATTCCCTGAAAAAAATCGTTTCAAAACTGACACACAGGGCAAGGCAGCTGAGGCTTTACTAGACAAGTATCAGGACAAAACACTGTGAACAAAATAGTCTTGTAGAGCATATATAAATATTCCTTTAACAGAGTACAGCCGTGTTTCTCCCCGTCCCACTAAAAAACTGAGCAGCTGTAGACCAAGTTCTCACACTTGAGCAGAAGTCACTGAGCTTTGTCCAGAGGCCTCAAGCCATGAACAGGTGTCAAACCAGTATGAAATCTTGCTGGCTGCCTTCCCTGGACAGGGCATGGTCTCACCAGCAGTCCATGTGCTGGATTCTGTTGAATCTGTGCTGCCAAAATGAGCTGATCTCTTTCCCAGGATAATCAGCTCAGTTGCTAAGGGGCATTCCCCTGGAGGCAGAGCATGTGCCTTTGACAGTCACCTCAGAAACAGTCCCAATGCATACATTTGCAACAGACTACAGTTCACCTCAGAGACAACCATTCTGAGTTAGGTTTACAAGCTGGTTATACCACATAGGGAGGGGACAGACTTTGTCCCAGCCACTGGACATCAGCACAGATGTTCAGCCACAAGAATGCTTCCATGGCCAGCACTGAGGTTACATGACTCTATCCAGGTGCTCTAGGTCTTGGGCAGCAAATGCTAGAGCACTGCAAGAACCATCTTCTCTTTCTTCTTCCTCTTCCTCTTTTTCTCCTCAAAACGTTCAGTGGCATCAGCAAAAAATGTCACCTCATCCTTGGCCTCAATCTCCCTCTTCAGGAACTGGAGCCCTGCCATGTTGAATCCCAGCACATCCTGCAGAGACAGACCAGCACCACACTGTTAGGCACATCTCAAGCTCATTAGGGAGCACAGGGTCCTGCACTGGCTACCCTTTGCCAAGAAATGACAAAAGCAGGGCAATCCACAGCTTTAAAGAATGCAACATTATTTAAATGTAAACTTCATCCGAGTAGGAGAACAGACAGTCCTGCACTTGGTTCCCCACAGTCCTCTATTAAGAGGAGCTATAATACATTGATTGTTCTGAAAGACAAATTGCTGACAGGCACCTGAAGTTGTTTCTGGGTAGATGCACAGTCTGCATTAAGACAGCAGCCCACAGAAAAGCCCAAGAAAAACAGAAAGTTTATTTACCTCCTACATATTTAGAAAACTAGTGAGCCAAGGCCCAAATACGTATATCACATAACCAAGAGTAAATGAGGGACAGAGCACAGCTAGGCTCACATAAGGAAGAACATAAGGAAAAGGCAGCCTATTTTGCAAAGGAGGATGGTTTAAATGGGCTCAGACCCCCAACCAACTTTCCCAGTGGACACCACAGACAATACAGGCTCACAAACATTGGCCCATCCTGTTATTCTAGATCCTGGAGCAGGGGAGGGTGCAACACTCACCCGGGCCTCACTGACTCTGGAGATGGTAGTTTTCTTCAGATCTTCTATCACTGTCACCAGCATGTGGTTGCCTGTGATCTGCCCAAAATGTATCCTGGGAACAAAGCAGGCAGTGATGTATTGCAGCATTGTTCTTAGAAACATCAGAAAGCCCGTCTCCTGAGCCTCTCTGTGTTCCAGACATACTTTTTTTCTTAAATTAGGTGTCCCCAGACCAGCACTATAACAGGCATGGACAGATTTATCTGGAAAAGCTATTTTCTGAAGTCTAACATAGGTGCAAGGGGAAAATCTCTCTGAGGACACGAGCTCTACAAAATGACTGCCACCAACAGTGCCACTTCAGACTTGATGTAGGATCTTTCATACCAATGACACTTGGGGCACCAGGAGCAGCAACCCCATCTGGGCATGTCAACACTGCATCTGATCAGTCCATTCCCACACACCATTCACTGTGGGCTGCTGTGACTCCTTACCTCCTGCAGAGGCCACATGTTTATTCTCAAGGATGCTTCCCAAGAGCTTCAGACCCAGAAATGTATAAGAAAGCCCAGATACTGTCTGGGCAGATAAAGGACTCACTTGAGCAGGAAGAGAAGAGCTCGGCACAGGAGTTCAACATCTGAACCCAGGTGAATATATTCATTGAAGAGTCTGAGCAGGTCAGGGACATAGGAGAAGGGCAGCACCAGGAGAGACTCTTCCAGTTCACTGAGGAAAAAGCAAAGGGACAGAAGCATTAGTCTCAGCCACTGCAGTGCTACATATGAGCAGGAAAGACTTCCATATTGGTAGGTTCTGGTACAAAAGCTGTGTGCTAAGCGTTCCTCATGGCCAGTCTGTGACTGCCCACAAAGCACAGTGCGTATGCACAGACTACAGCCCAGGCCAGCAGGCATCTTCTGGCACAGGGAGCAGGCACACAGCCTTACATACTCAGCATTCCCAAACTACTCTCCACATACATGTGCATCTCCAACCAGGCAACCCACATTCACAAGCTTCATCCCACACTTCCCATGGAAGGAACAATTTCCAATCCCCAATTCCATTCCCAAAAGAGGCTGCCAGGAACGGTAACTCCAGGCTCTC